ATGATGAAGAGTTAAATTATTTATTAGAGAGCTGCTATGTTCTTGGAGCATGCTAGATACTGTATTTACATGATCCCATTTAATCTTCACAGCCAAGAACCTCCTAAATGGTTTCCCTGTTTCTCCTCTTGTCCTTCTCCCATTCTGTCTCTGCACAGCAGCTGAAGTGTCTTTTGAAACTACATCAGGTCACTCACTCCCTTGCTTAAAAATGTCAAGCCCTACCTAAGCTCTCTTATACCACACTGTCCTTTCCTCACTGCACTTGAACCTCACTGACTGCTTTCCATTTCTCAACATGCCAACATGGTCTCCTTCTAAACATGCTTACTTCCAGCACCTTTGGCCTGAAAGTGCCCTATCAACCTCACCAACAGTGTTTCTCCTTGACCACCCTAAGAAAAGTACCCCTCCCTCACTTTCTATCCTACCACCCTGTTTTCAGTACATTTTAACATCTGAAATTACCTTGTTCAAATTTTTGTCTGGCTCCTCCCATTTGTATGTAAGTCCCAAGACAGTAAGGACCTTTTCTGTTCTATTCACCACAATATATCACCAGTAACTGGTGCGTAATAGAAGGTCAACTTGTTGAAGAATCCTGTAAAGGCTGCAAATGAGAAAATGGGCTCAAAAGACCTTGGTTAAACATCTTGACTGAGACCACTCAGCTGGTAAATGATTGCCTTGCAATGGTTGAAGGCTGAAGGGAGTCTTTGGGTCTCTTGGAGTCCAGGTATTTTGTTCTACGGTTGGGCAAGTCCCACTGGACCACGCAGTACAAACAGCCAGGTTGTCAAGGAGGCGCACTGCTTCTGTGAACTTTTTTTCAAGCCCTATATGAGCTCATCTAGACTCACTGAAGATGATCACAGTCCAAAATTAATCTACAGAAATCACATTCCACACAAAATATCTGAAGAACTCAAAGATCCTGAGGTTTGGCAACTAGATTCATTTACATATGATTATTATGAAAGTAATTCTATCTAATATTTCACCTCTTTGCCCCAGTCTTTCTTTTTGCATTGGGGCAGTGTTTCAGTCAAAAGTAAGAATCTGTACAAATTTAACAGAGAGAAATACCATCTTACCCAAGACCAGGCAGCTGATCATGTTTACCTTATCTCCAAGACATTGCAAGGAAAGAACTCAAGGTTGCAGAGAAAAAGTGGGGAGAATAAATGTATTGCATGGCAATCAGAAGAGGCAAGTAGGGCAGGGCAAGTCCTCTATTTTCTTCAGAAGTTGATTACATCCTCCTCTATTTTCATGAAAAGGGTCTGTTTAACTGGAGGTAAACCGTTTTCCATATAGTCATAAGCTTTGCAAGACCCTCAGGGCTCCTTGGATCCCCAGTGGGTACTATGCAAGGACACATCAAGATAAACTGACATACGGCCCAAGGGTGGAATAAAGAAGGGTAGGTAGGAGTACACTAAAATAGCTTCAAGGCTTTTCTCTATAATCCAAGTTATATACGGACATATACAAGATACAAGAAAAGCTATGAAGTGGTGATCTGTATAGCTAATACTTTGAAATTTCACTATGGAACTTGAAATTCAATCCCAATGAACGAAATTGGGAGGACAGTATCAGTATATATGCTGATTGATAGTCATGAATAATGTTTTAAGATAAACTATTCTAGAAATACACTGACTGATCTAGACAGTTGAATTCTGAAACTTATAAATGGCATTATAGGCTGTGAAATATACAGTGGACGGTAATTATCTTAATACCAAACTCTTCTCTCATTTTTCATATATATTAGTCATGGTTTTATTATGTAATATAGACAAAATACACTTTTATTACAAAATACATGCAAATAAAGAATATTCTGAGTCTTTACAAGTTCCATGTCATGTCAGTCATGAGAACAAACAAGTACAAAGACCATTCCCTGCATAGAGACTTTCTCTAACATACCTGCTATTTAAGTCAAATTACATGTTTTCAGGGAAATAAATTCAAAATTAAAACAGTATTTTTATATGTCTCTTGAGAAACACTTGATATTTTTACTTTGTGGAACTTACACATATATAGTATTTGGCACAGAATTAGACATGCTTAATATTTTCTGGGAAGAACACATTCTTAAAATAAGATAGGATGTATCCAAAGCTAAGGATAAGCATTCTATGAAATATGTAAGCTATACATATGTAAATTTGAAATTTACAGTTTAAGTTGTTATTAGCTAAATGTTATTGTGATTAGAAAATATAAAATAGCTACTTAGAATGTTTTTTTTTTTGGGTTTTTGATACCTTTCTACATCCCATGAGAGAGACTGCTTACTTTCCTAGAAATGAAGGATATGACAGATCCTTTATTAAAATGTTAGCATGTTCAAAAGCCATCTGAAAAACATTTTCGTAAGTGTTCTTAATATACCCCTCACATCCAATAGCTATTGCACAGTGCAATAAAACAAAATATGCTGAAACAAAAGTAATTTTATTAGGCCATTTTGTATTGCTCTAAAGAAATACCCAAGGCTGAGCAATTTATAAAGAAAAGAGGTTTATTCTAGCTCATGGTTTTGCATGCTGCATAGGAATCATGGTGCTGGCATCTGCTTCTGGTCAGGGCCTCAGGAAGCTTACAATCATGGTGGAAAGGGAGAACAGGCATATTATATGGGAAGAGCAAGAACAAGAGAGGGGGGAGGTGCCATGCTCTTTCAAACAACCAGAACTCATGTGAACTACCACCACACTGAGCCATTCATGAGGGATGTGTCTTCATGATCCAAACACCTCCAACTAGGCCCCACCTCCAACACTGGAAATATTACATTTCAACATGAGATTTGGAGGGGATAAACATCCAAACAATATCAATTATCTAATACCACCCTCATGTAATAAGAATATTTAGTGGCCTAGGTAGCTAAACTATATAGCAAGGCCTAGGTAGCTAAGCTATATCCCAAAGTCAGTGTTTCAGCTATATGGAGAACCCAAATCGTATTTTTAATCAAAGTTGTGCTCTTCTAGTTTGTGCAGTTGTGAGAACATCAAAGAACTTCATGTGTCCTGAGGACATTACTACAAAATGGTTGATTTCTGAATTGAATTTAAACTGTAATTTCCTTTCCAAATTCCACAGAGTTTGAACTCTGTATTCTAAAACTAATTTTAGGGTACATTTCTTATTCTTGCATAATCTGAAAATATAAACTGTAATTTGCAAATATACACAAAATATGAAATTCAATTATACTCACAATACTAGCCCTCTTCTTAATTCTCTTACAGGATACTGTTTTCTGTCCACCCATTTTGTGAAAATTGCATACTGCTGCTCTACTCTGATAATCTACAGATTTTTCTTTTACTTTGAACTTGGACAAAGAATCCAGTGCTTCATCATACTTTGAACTATTCTCCAGGCTTTTCCCACATATCCCTTATTTTAACTGTTTACATTTAGATTTTCCTTTATGGGAGAGTCCTCCTTCCAGGAACTTTGTTAGTGGAATCCACAGTAACAAATGACAATTAATAAAAAGTGTATTTTAAAATCTATGTAAGAGTTTTTCTCATAGGAGAGGAAGAATGAAATGTCATCTAAAATACTGGGAAAGCAGATTACAAAGTGGTATTCTATATGCAATAAATATGCCAACATATCACCAACTTTAAATTTATAAAATCTGTTAACTGAATATAAATCAAACATAAGGAAATCTTTTAAAGGTATCAGTGCTATGGAATTATAGTGTTATTCTTTATCTTGTTTTAGTTACAACATGTTCCTACCATTAGTTTTCAGGAATACTAAATATTTAAGCACCACTGTATGACTACTGTTTGCCAGTGATGTACATGTACTTTCATCCTTTCAATAACCATTCAAGGTTAATATCCCCACTTTATAGGTGATAAAATAAGATTTCAGAAGATCACACAGCTAACAAAGACAAATGGCTGGTATACAAATCCAAATATGACTAAACAGCCCAGGCCTTTCCTCTTCCTTCAACATTGTGCCATGTCAAATCTCATTTGAAAATCAAAGTTATTTATTCCCAAACAATTTGATACACCATATTTCCTAAGGATGAAAGAAAATAACTTGAAAAATAAATCAAAAAAGCTTTCCTTTCTCTGTGACAAAAATGAATATCTAATCCAATCACTGAGTTTACTACATGTTAAAATTTTAAGTTTACTTTTCATCAGGCAACAAATAAGACTAAAAAAGCATTCAAGTATGGTCATTAATGGTACCAATTCACTACAATTTCAAGATCAGTTTGCTTCAAAAATATATTTTGTACCCTATGCTATGAAGGGTTGATATCAAAGTACATCATATGAAACCATTAAAGAGAACAGAGGCCAGGCGCAGTGGCTCAAGCCTGTAATCCCAGCACTTTGGGAGGCCGAGGCAGGTGGATCATGAGGTTAAGAGATCGAGACCATCCTGGTCAACATGGTGAAACACCGTCTCTACTAAAAATACAAAAAGTAGCTGGGCATGGTGGTGCGTGCCTGTAATCCCAGCTACTCAGGAGGCTGAGGCAGGAGAATTGCCTGAACCCAGGAGGCGGAGGCTGCGGTAAGCCGAGATTGCGCCATTGCACTCCAGCCTGGGTAGCAAGACCGAAACTCCATCTCAAAAAAAAAGAGAACAGAGAGCACAAAAAGTGAAAATAGTTGAAGTGGAGTAGTTGGTATATACACCTGGTATTACATGTTCTCTTTTGAAGTTTTACTCAAAATAGAAAATACTAATGAACCACTTGGGCTAAATCATTTTCAAATTCCAAAAGAAAACAGAAACTTCAAAGAAACAGTGGGCTTTACAAAGGAAACAATATACATATGCTATAACATGGATAAACCTGGATGATATGCTAAGTGAAATAAGGCAGTCGCAAAAAAAGACAAATACTGTATGATTTCAATTATATGCTGTACCTAGAGTAGTCAAACTCAGACACAGAAAGTAGAATGATGATATTGAGAGACAGGGAGGAAGAGGGAAATGAGTTGTTTAATGGGTACAGAGTTTCAATTTTGCAAGACAAAAAAGTTCTGGAAATTGGCTGCATAATCATATGAGTATACTTAACACCACTTTGTTAAGAGGCAAATTTTGTTATGAGCATTTTATCACAATTAAAATAATTGTCTTTTTAAAAAAGAACCAATGATTTGTTAATATGACAATGACACTACAGGTATGTTTTAAAAACAAAATATTTAGAGATACATCTAAGTTATCTGCAGGTTGATGGTATGTAATGTTCACTGTACTATTTTACTTCTGTAGAATGTTTACAATTTTTCTCAATGCAATAAAGAGTAACTTTTTAAAAAAGGAACCAATAACGAAATGAAATTTCCTAACCAAGAGAACAATCTAGCCTGAAAATATTTGATTATAGTTTAAACATGTAAGATGTAATAACATTTTAACATTTTAGCCATAACTGATAAACATGTCACATCACTTATTTCATCTGAGAGAAAGATGCTGAAAAACTAGACATTTACTGAGCTTGCATTCGAAAAAACAATACGGAGAAAATTACATGAACAGTCTAAGTTTGCTATGAAAACAATGTACTTTTATTAAAGTAACCAAAAGAAGCAACAAAGGGGAAATTTCACAAGCTTTGTTTGCAACTATATAATCTTTATGTAGAAAAACTATAAAGTGACAGTCTGATCTGGAAAGCAGCTCAACAAAACCTAATCCTTACATCAAAAGTAACTAAATTATAAGAATCAGTTCACCCAAAAGAAATTGTCTTACTGTAGAATATTTTAGCCAAGCTAATTTCAACTATATTATTCTAACTTCTGACAAACTCTTTCCTGATATTTCAAATCACCAGAGATGTAACAGACAAGAACCCGCTGAAGTAAAAGAATAAAACACAAATACTCCAAGCACAATTACATGTGACATGATGACTGCATTTAATCTACAAAACTATACAAATTACCAATTATACATATAATCCATTTACATTGAAGCTCCATGAGGTGGTACTGAATAAACAGTGAGGCATCAAATTTTCAACAATGAACAAGGCTCACGGAACAGCAGCACATTCCCACCTTTTAGTCTATCATCACAACACTTCCCCTGGGATTTGTACTTATTTGTATATTGTAAGTCCTAGGAAGTTGATAACAAAAATTTTAAAAGTCAAAAGGATAATGAATTAAACACTCCTTAAAATCTATTCTAAAGCATGCGTGTGAAATATGAAGAGACCAAGCACTTTGTAAATGTGAGATTTGTATAGTCACGTGTTCTTTAAACTTATACTAGTATCTTCACTAGTATCTGCACAATTTCCTGTGATTAGGCTTTTCACTAAAACAATAGAAGAGGAAAACAATAAACAAAAAAAAAAAAACCCTATTTTTAAACTGTACAGTCTTAGAAAAGTGGCATTATTTATTTTTAAAACCAACCTTCTCTGCTAAAGAAATCACACTGTGTGGTCATCAGAACAGTTTAAGTCTCTTTGGCAATACAGAGATTTACCCTTATTATGAATGATAATAATGATGATAAACTATTATCATGGTCATATAATTCTTCAGAACTTATGCCACCATGGAGGCAAATATGTACAGAATATTTCTAATAAACCTAAATTTAATCATGGTCAAAATTTCTCAAAAGTATTTTCACGTGCTCAAGAATATTAAAATTTGGGGGGGAAATACGTAAGTCATAAATAAGCAAGTATTCTCTCCAAGATTCAGTAATTGGGATAAAAGTCTCAGGGTAAGCCCACAAGAAAGGTCTGTAGTCAAAAAAAATCAAGGCGAGGAGCTGTAGCTTATGTCTATAATCCCAGCACTTTGGGAGGCCAAGGCAGGCAGATCACATGGTCAGGAGATCAAGACCATCCTTGGCTAACACAGTGAAACCCCATCTCTACTAAAAATACAAAAAATTGGCCGGGCATTGTGGCAGGTACCTGTAGTCCCAGCTATTCAGGAGGCTGAGGCAGGAGAATCGCTTGAACTCAGGAGGCAGAGGTTGCAGTGAGACAAGATCGTGCCACTGCACTCCAGCCTGAGCAGCAGAGGGAGACTCCGTCTCAAAAAAGAAGAAAAATCGGGTCTGTGTAATTTCTGCCACCTTTAGCAGAAAAGCCAAAAACATTCCGAGCCAAACAAGAGCATCCTTTGAGTCAGCGCTTTTTCCTGTGTTCATTCTGTAATTTCTAACTTCTAAACATGTTATAGCTCAGAAATTCCTATATGCTTACTATCTGTAATAAGGAACTACAATATCAAAGACAAAATTCACAGACATGATCATTTTCCATCACAGGTCTCTCTCTCTTTGGTAAGAAACAGACCAACACTCATTTTCTCTCACCTATAGAAAAGAAGGGAGTTAAAAGTCATTAACCTAGTAAACAATCCCTGTGTATAAACATTAAGTTGGAGGGTGAAGAGCCTAAGTCATGCCCTTTATAAGAACCATGGATACCACTCTGGCATGTAGCTGTGGTAGAGGACAGTAGGTGTCTATAGATGGAACATGGTCTTTCCTATAACTGGAAGACCATGCTTATGAACATTCTAATCAACCTATAAAAATTTTGCTCTGTAACTTGAGTGTTCTTTAGACAAGAAACATGAATAATGAACAACTGTAAAAACGTGGTAGAATATCTTCCCCCTTATCAGTCACCAATTTCTGATCCCATTAAATTTTCATAGAATCCATAAGGTTATTAAGTAGGTTTACTCTAGATATTTTCTCATGAAGTAAAACTGGAAATAACCTATCTAATAATACCATTTGCAATTCAAGAAAAAAAATCCAATATAATCTAGTACTTACACATGAACAAACTTCACAGAATATATATTCTATCAGGCCTAAGAAATCCTCACAAAACAATGTCAGTTTCACCCACTGTAAGATAAACTATGATACATATCTGAATCCAGATAAAAAGAACTGCTAAACTCCACTGCAGTAGGAAAAATATTACAAATAAGCACCCAAAACTGACCTAAACTTTTTTACTCAATCCTGCTTCTCCAGGATGTCTTTTTTTGAAAAAGAGAGAAATAAGCACCTCTTGCAACTTGACTGGAAAAATTACCTGACCAATTATTTCTAAGCCTATACTAGACACCAGTGTAAGATGGAATGCCAAAATCACCACCAATTCAACATTACCATTATTTTTGCAAAGTAAGGTAGTTATAAAATTCCATTCTCCCAAGCAATGAACAGGGGAGAAAAAAATGTTACTTTTTAAATGGCTACATTTATAGGTTGAGTATCAGCACCAAATGTTCACTTTTCATTATTCTGAATGAATCTTAGGAATTAATGTTTCCTAACAAAATGGACTAACCAAACAGTGAATGATAAGGAAATAACTTTCAAGCAATATTTGCATGCTGATAAGAACCATTAAGTAAAACAGTGACTGGCTCATTTCCAAAGCTATTATAGGTGTGCAGTTTGGAAATAGTATATCTCACTGCTCAGCTAAGATAGCTACTCTCCAAATCATGGATACAGCATCTTAATTTGTGACTAGGCAAGATTAAGTAAAACAAGTTGAAAGATTTTATTAAAAAGCAAACTAAATCAAAATGATCCATTGTTAGAATATTTTCCACCGTCTCTTTTAGGGAGGGAAAAAACCCCCAAATCACTGTATAAAGTACCTACATAAAAAACTGAAATCAAGATTCACAAATAATAGTGTCAGTTCAATTCTACATAACCCTTTATTATAATTGTAGCAATATTACGACCACCAACATTACACAAGTTTTATTTCTTCCTCCTACCTTAGCAAATTTATTTTCATAATAGAGTTCAACTCTGCAAATGGTTTAAATCAACTTTTGCACCTTGAATTTACAAACCATTAGATACTAAGTTTCCTGAAAACATTTTATTTTTAAATTTTACTTAAAGCTATAACTAAACCCAAGTCTCTTTGGGAGTGGGGAGGAAACCAACTAAGCTGTTTAAACAGAAACTTGTAAAAAAAATGTTTTGATGCCGGTGTTTGAAAGACAGCTTACAGAAGATTATAAAAAGTCAACTATCATACAAGAGAATTCTATGGCCAAACCTTGTTAGAAAATTTCTTTTACAAATAAACTTCTTTCATGATAGAAGAGGAAATGAAGAAGATATTTAATTTTCCCCTAAAAGTAAGTAGTTACTCACAACATGGGTTGGATGTATGGAATACATATTGCTTCTGTGAAAAAATGTTTTATCCAGGCATCCCACTAACAAAACACCATGCCATATCTACCTAGTCTTTGATATCTGGGTATTAGTATTACCCAAGAGAAACTTATCAAAGAAAATGGTTAGCAAACCATCAAATAGGAGTTTCAGGTCCCTTAATTTGGTTAGTCATCTTTGTAAATATAAAACTTAAGCTACTTGAACACTGGAGCTTATAAAGTGCATCAGGTATATGAAACACAACAGTAGTGTGAAACTCAGTAGGACTTAAGGGACTTAGTATCACCAGTGGGGCAAAAAAACAACATTATAGTTTTCTGTTCAGATTTTATTTGAAATCTAATTCAAATTGTCAAAGCTACAAAAGGGGGGAAGACATCTGTATTATTTTTGCTAAGTCACAACATCCTAAAACAAAACACTACTACTGCCAGCAGATCCATTATACACATTTCTGATGAAATTCATTAGCACAATAAAATTTCACCTTGAGAAATAGCCACAATGAAAGTAATTACACAATATAAAACAATGACAGATCTACAGCTGCAGTTACTCATGAGTTTACACATGCATTCACAAACAAACAAACAAAAAACCCCAGGAATGCTCTTTCATTTGATTTTTTGTTTTTGTTTTTTTAAAAAACAGACCATTCAGGCACAAAACAAATGGCATTTCCAATAAGTGACAGCATCTTAAAAATCTACGTCAGTGTTTGTTTTTCTTTGACTTTTTATGAGACCTGTGTGGAGATCTGGACTGGGATCTGGACTTCTTCCCTGATTTTTTAGGGGATCTAGATCGTGACCGCCTAGACCTTTTAGGTGTCCTTGAACCAGATGGTGATCTAAGGAAACAAACGAAAAATCCCAATTGATCAAAGTATTCATGTGATCCAAACTGATTATCCTTAAACTATCAAAAATTCTCTTTAACAGAGCACAGTGAAAAATCACTGGAGTAAGACAAAAAACTTCTAAAATTTAAACTCTGTCTATTGTACATACACACAAACAGATTTATTTTGTACTTACTATGCACTGCATCAATTATCACCAGTACAGCACTTGTGTATAAAGACAGATTTCTGAGCCTTACCACTGCTCTACTGAATCAAAATCTCTAGAGGTTGGAACTGAGAATGTGCATTTTTAACAAGCTCCTCAAATGACTGTTAATCCCCAAATTTGAACCTTTAATCTACAAGATAAAGTTCAAAGTTGCACTTAAGATCATTCACAAAATTTAAAAAACACAGCAACTTTGAAGTTTATCATCTTAAAGCAAACAACTACTGCAGTATCATTCAATGGCATCATTTAAGATGCTATAATTTTTTAAGTGCTATTCATGAAGATCACTCTAATCAATAAATATACATGTACATATGCATACATATATAACACATACATATATATTCAGGTGCCATTTAGAAAAGGAGAAAGGTATCTATTCTACAAAGATTTTACTAAAAATAGTTATAATAATAATAATAGTTATAATAATAAAGTACATAAAGCACATAAAGCAGTTTCAGCTCTCAGGAAAATTCCTCAATGTATCACCAGATAAATAAAACATTTCTGAACCATTTTTCTGGAACTAAAAAAGTATATAAAATACTACATACTTTAAAAATGGTATTTATAATATGTATTTTCAAAAATCTCTACCCAAGAACTTGCTAATAATATTGCTATGGGGGAAAAAAAATGTGTGTTTCTTTCAGCTTTGACAAAAATCAAAGAATATTCTATAGAAACTAAAGAACAGAATGAAAAGTAAAGCAGCTAACCCTATTCCACAGGAAACATTGGATATGATGTTTAAAATTCTTGGCTGGTCCTCACTTGTTGGAAGCCTTGTATTTCAGACATGAAAGAGATTGGAATGAGGAGGTGGGAAGGAATAACCAAAAATGAAAGTGTATCTCTTTGGTTTTCTAAAATCCTTAAAAAAAAAGTATGCCAACCAAATTATTTTCAAAAGCTGGTGAAATGACAAGAAAATTGGTATCTGAAATATTAGCAAAAATGACTTGCATTTACCTTTTGGCTTTTTTGCTAACATCTCTAGGAGAATCTTTGTGAGATGACCTGGACCGTGAGCTTTCTTTATGAGATCTTTCTGAACGCTCTGATCGCTCCGATTTTGGTGATGGGGATTTCACTCGTCTACCACTGCTACTGCGAGATGGGCTGGGGGATGTACTGTGTCGCCTCTTCCTATGGAACAAAGCCCCAAAACATTCCATAAATGAGCAAAGGATCAGGTATTCATTTTCCTTTACTAAATTAGCTATTAACTCCTACCAGCTTACTCTAACTTTTGTTCTCACTAACCATGTAATATTACTTTTAACAATATTCAAAGTCCTTTGTAGCAAGAACAAATAAGTCTTAAAGATAGGCTGTCAAGAGACAACAAACGAATTCAACTAATTGGATTTTCTTTTTGCAATAAAAGATACTACTGAAACAATTGCCAAAATTTAATTAAGGTCTCTGGATTGAATATCAGTTTTTTTTTTAATGTTAATTTCCTAAACTGATATTTTTATTGTGGTTAAGAGAATGGGGCATCATGTTGGCAAATTACTCTTAAATGGTTGGAGGTGGGACAGAAGAGGAAGAATAAAGCAAAAGTAGAAATACTTTATTTTTAACATTTGGGTAATGTGAGTGAAGGCTATCTATCAATTATACTATTCTTGCAACTTTCCTATAAATCTAAAATTATGTCAAAATAGTAATAAAAGACAAAAAAAGGTCAGACTTTTAACCAATTGGCATAACTTGCTATTTGTAACCATCTGTAGTGTGACTAAGCTAGACTTTTATTTATAATTGCTTGGTATTTTTATTAGGAAAACCTCAGTTCTGTTAAGGGAAGCAATTTTCTTTACTAAATCAGAGATTTAGGAACTGTAAGAGTAAAAAATAAAAACAAAGAGAAATGCTTTTCATTAGAAAGAAGACTTGAAGAGAGCTATGGCCTATGTATACAATCTCCTTTCAAGATAAGACTGAGACTCAAGTTTACAAGTAGCAGCCTCAGCACTGAGACTGGAAAAAATACTTACATTGGATGCAACAAGGAAGATCTAGCAAGTTGTTTTGTTACTTAAGCCTCAGGTTTGATATCTAATACTGTAACTGAATTCTCACACTGAACTAAGGCTAAGGATACCATATAAACCATGTAAAGGCATGATTCCCCAGTTAACTAAGTCAAGTGCCAACTAAGTGCCCCACTTATCAGCTACTTCTGCCTCCTGCAGGCAGGATCCAAACAAGTTTATCATGAAAAAATACTTCCAGTTTGCTGACATCAATGATGAAAATATTATAAAACCACTGCAAATCTTGAAACCAGTATATACATTAAATATGAAAAATGTTATACCTTTCCTTCCTTGTTGGAGTACACTCATCTTTTTCTTTCTTGTCTTTGGAGCGAGATTCCAATTTTTCCTTATCTTTCTTGTCTCTTTCTCGTTCTCTTTCTAACTCTTTCTCTTTCTCCTGTTATTTTTTAAAGAAAATATTAAGTTGTTTAAAAATATTAATTTGGGTTTATATAATGATCTCATTTATATAACAGTATTTTCTCTTATAGGAAATAATTTTTTAAATTGCTACTTAAAATACTGTTTTTAAAAAAACAAAATATACTCCTCCAACAAAACTAGTCATTTCTTCTGCTTATACTGAATAAAACTAATCCTAGCAACAGCAGCTAAACATTTACTAAGTGCTTACCATAAGCCAAACAATGTACTAAACAACTTTCCACGGACCATTTCATGTAATCATTTAAAGCATCCCTAAGAAAATTACTATTATCCTCATTCTAGAAATGAAAATGGAGACTCAGAAAGATTAAGCACCATGTCCATGGTCACACAGGAGAGTCAAGTCAGAATTTGAGACCAAGCTCTAGAGTCAGAGCTCTTCCCACACTGTCCCACCTGCCAAAAAATTCGAATCAGAAAAAGCTAACAATGTACTGCCCTTTCTATCATAAGTTACAATAAAACAGTCAGTAGAAAGTGATTTCTCTAACTTTAAGTAAGTTGCTTTGATCAAAAATAGCTATTACCACAGAAAAAAGGCTGGAAAAGGAAAATGGTTATTCACAATAATCTTCCATCAAAATTCTGTTAGCGGGAAACAAGTACCAATTACACTGCAGTTTTTAAATCCTAATTTATAAAAATTAAAAACTGACTACATGACTCTACAATTGTATAAACACACAAACAAAAAAAATATTTATCCCCAGATGCTACAACTGCCACTTCTCATTTGAAATTCTGATTTCTATATATAATTAAAGGAGTGGCTACAGACAATAAATAAATCCACAAAACTAACTTAGTTCTTCACTAACAGGAATTTAATTTCTCTGATTTACATGCTTCAAGAAAGCTGTGTGTTAGCTGATTCTTCTAATTTTTAAAAGGTGAAAAGTGCCTATTCCAGAAGTTGACAAACACTTTTTGTACAGTGCCAGTATACAGTAAATACTCTCTGCTTTGTGGGCCACATACAGTCTCTGTCACAACTACTCAACTCTGCCACAGCAGAGTGGAAGCCACCATACAAAATACTTAAGTCAATGTGCATGGCTGTGTTCTAATACAACTATATACAGTATCAGGCAAGGACAATATTCCTTCTCTCCAATTATAATCATAGAGCACAAAGAGACTAAAGTGGTAATATAAGTATTATTCACTTTGTGCTTGCTACCATCAGGACCAGTGACCATCTCAAGGTGTAATCTTCTATGCAGATCAATAACCTGCCAGCATTTCCAAAGGGACCCGTGGAGTATAGGTAAGTAACATCTTTTACAAAATCTCACTTACTTATATTTTTTCCAAATATAAAGAGTGCAACTTTTAAAGAGTGGTGCTGAGGAGACTGACTTCCTCTGGTGACCTGTAGGATGCATTTTCCTGATTGATAATGAAAATGATTTCCTAATTGAGATGCCTATTTTATAGGAACCATACTACAAATAAAATACATGTAATATTTTAAACATTCGAATTCTATAATAAAGAGTAACAGTAATAACAGTAGCTATTATCTAACTCAGAATCTTATAAAATTGGGAATATCAACCCAGTTTCCGAGAAAAAGCAGGCTGCAGTGACTGGCCTAGGAGAGCAGCACCAGAATTCCACAGGTCTGAGCAGCACCACAGTTGCTTTACCAGACTGCTTCCCATCGCCAGTTTTTTACATTAACAGCTTCATAATGATTATATGTTCCCTTTTTATGGCTCTTTCCTATTTCACTTTCTATATAATCTATTATTGGGGTTTTTTTTTTCAATGTCAGTCAAAATTAATAGCAGTCCCAACGAAATTCCTGGGATTCCTGGTTCTAAAATTCTCTGCATATTCCTATATATTTTGTGATGCATGAGAAAATAAAGTCCCTCAAACACTCAGAACTCACCAATGAAGTATTCTACCACTTGCTGTCCCTCCATGGAAACCATGGGAAATGAAATAAACTTCTCAACATCAGAACTTCCCAAACTCTGCCTCCATCTTTTTCTTTCTGTACCACCTCTCAGGATTGTTGGTGTCTCCCTGCCACAAATATGACTCATCCTGAGGGTTTTCCAGTTTTGAAAGCATGCTCTTAGCAGAATTAATCTTCTTGTCCACAGGTAGGACCCAGAATAAAAGTGTGCTGCTGCCTTTGAACTCCTTTCCAAAATGAAATACTTTCAAAATATCAAATTTCAAATGTTTCTAATTGCCTACTGGTATTCAAAATTTACACAAAGGACGTAATTTGAAATCATCTTTGAATATACCAATATTCTAGGAAGTCAAATAAATAACTTCAAAAAATGTGTATTATTGGGTATACTTATTTCTTACTCGTTGAAGAAGTTTGTCTCTGTAGTGTTCTACTTGCTCCTGAAAACTCTGGCCTGGTTTTTTAGGTCTTTTTCCAGATTCCAGTTCATCCTGAAACTTCATAACTTTGAGCTGTGAAATTAAACATTTTGAAAATAAGTATTTTCATCATTCTCGCTTCTCAAGCACATTTTGCTTCTTTTCTACAGCATAGTAACTAATTAGTACTCAGTCAAATTACAACCTCACCTGAGGGCCACTTGTCAAACAAGCCCAACTACGCAAAAGTCAACTGATCAGATAGGAGCTTTCTGTGATCATGAGAGGACTCAAAAACTATGAAACAGGCTTCACGGCTGTAAGAAGCCATTTATTCTCTCAACGCAATTATAACAACTTTGATATCTGGTTCCATAAATTAGAAAAGCAAGGTTGCTAAAGCAAGGTTGGCAGCAAGATATTACACTCAGCAGAACACAGATAAACATTTTTAACAAAGAGGCAGGGGTAGGGGGCCGTGGCATTCTGGTTCAGCTCATGTAAGACCAAACACGCAAAAGTGCACAGTCTGAACGTTTCACTCACAGTGCAATCACGAGACCTCAAATCACAAAGAAAAGGTTAAATCATATTTGGAGAGTACTTTATAAGACAATAAGAGTAAATGCTGATTAAAACAGACTAGGCCAGGCACAGAGGCTCACGCCTGTAATCCGAGCACTTCGGGAAGCCAAGGTGGGCAGATCACTTGAGATTGGGAGTTTGAGACCAGCTTGACCAATATGAAGAAATCCTGTCTCTACTAAAAATATAGTATCAGCTGGGTGTGGTGTCGCTTGCCTATAATCCCAGCTACTCGGGAGGCTGAGGCAGAATTGCTTGAACCTGGGAGGCAGAGGTTGCAGTGAGCTGAGACCACACCACTGCACTTCAGCCTGGGCAACAAGAACAAACCTCCATCTAAAAAAAAAAAAAAAAAAAAACCCGGACCAGAAAAACTTCCATCTCTTATTTATCCTTCAGGATACCTATATAAGTTCACAAAGATATCTGTACAAGATACTCATTGCAACACTGTTTGTAAAAGTAGAACAACTACATGTTTACCCAGAGATTTCTGGCTAACACACGAACAGATACATGTAATACACTTATATATTGCAAAGCATAAAGATCTGAAAAAACTAGTAAAATCAGTTACAGGGAGAGAAAAAAACTTGCAATAAGTGAGCTTAATTTTACTTTTTATTCTGGAAATTTAAGTATCAAAATTTTGTACTATATAAAAATACTAAAAAGAATAAATGCATGATTTATTTTGAATTTAAAAATAAAGACTCCACAAAGTGGTTAAAATAAAAACTAAGGCTTAGAGGAGCTTAAATTATCCAAGAAATTTACAAGGGTGAAAATACCTTCTTCTTCAATTCTAAAGGAGGGCAAATAAGGTGAAAAGTGTAAGGACCTGGAAGATCCTCCAAGCTGTAGAAAGCACATGGATCTTGGATGGTACCACTGGGCTGCCAATCTGTTCAATATTGTTCCACTCAAAGAGAAAGAGGAAGCATTCTTGTCTAATGAAATTCCTGTAGATGCTAACATTTTATCCTGTTTTATTCAGACATTGGTATGTCCTTTAAATGAACTAAATGCCGCTACAGCATATTATTTATACTTCAAAAACAAGACCTCATTTGCTTTTTAATCCCTTTACTATAGTCTTTCCAACAGAATAGAAACAAGCTACAGAAACATTTCCCACCCCATTCCAAGTGGTATTTTCTTTTCTTTTCCTTTTTGAGATAGAGTCTCACTCTGTCAGCAGTGGCACAATCTTGGCTCACTGCAACCTCCACATCCCAGGTTCAAGCGATTCTCCTGCCTCAGCTTCCCAAGTGGCAAATTTTTGTATGTTTTTTAAGTAGAGACAGGGTTTTGTCATGTTAGCTGGGTTGGTCTCGAACTCCTGACCTCAACTTACCTATCCATCTCGACCTCCCAAAGTGCTGGGATTATAGGCGTGAGCCACCACGGCCTGGCCCCAAGTGGTATTTTCACTGTTTTTGACTTCATGAATGTTACTTGTAAGTTCTCCAATTTTGTCCTTTTACCATCTATTTTCACTTTTTAAAAAAATATATTTATTTTTTGAGACGGTGTCTCACTTTTGTCACCCAGGCTGGAATGCAGTGGCAGCTATCTCAGCTCACTGCAACCTCCGCCTCCCAGAGTCTCCTGGGTTCAAGCGATTCTTCTGCATCAGCCTCCATGCCTGGCTAACTTTTGTATGGTCAACACAGGGTTTGACCATGTTGGCCAAGCTGGTCTCAAACTCCTAACCGCAAGTAATCTGCCCACCTCAGCCTCCCAAGTGCTGGGATTTCAGACATATTTTCACTTCCATAATCAGAATCTTTTATAACCAGAGCTTTGATGTTCTCTCCATCTCTTCTTTCAAAGCTCTCTAAAAGTCAGTGTATTTTAAGGATGACTGCATTTAAAAGACGGGATGTAAGGCTGAGAAAGCAACGGGATGTGGGGTGGGCAACATAAACAGCTAAGTTCATCACTGTGTGAAGCCTCTAGTGACCAAGATGACTCTTCTACAAAATGTATTTGTAGAAAATCAGTTTAAGAGTTAAGTGTTCGAGAGTCAAACAACAGGACTGACTGTTATTTAGGGGAGAGGAGGGATTCCTAAGATAATATTTTTAAAAATCACTGCAATCCCTACTTAACAGTTCCTGTTGATATAGTCTAACTGAGGCTCAAGCACAAGTCCAAGGCACACAGAAAACAAATGATCAAGGGTCTCAACACAAAAGGAAGTGGCCCATGCAATGGCTTGTTAACCATCCATCACTTGTTGCCTTCAGGCCTCAGACAGGTATCACCTTCCAACTCAACTATTCACTCTTTCCCCAGGGAAGAGGAAAGAACATGATCTCTCTCTTCCAACAAGACAAAAGACCTTCACTTGGTTCCCCACCCACTATTCTACTCTTCCAACCTTGTTGATAGAAATGGGGACAACAGTAGAACAAGAAAAGGTAACTCCAACCTAGGCACTGCTCTCAGTGGTATCTGAAAGATTAAGAACTTGCTTCTGGCCACCACGATATCATATAGCTACAAGATTTTTGTGCTTTTACAAAGGATGTTAGTATTTTGTAACACGAATCATTTGGTTTTTATTTATTCTATGCTTAAAAATGTGCAGCTATAGGTTATCTTTATCAGGACACAAGTGGGGATGGAAAATTATAGTATATATACCATAGTATATAATTGAACTAATTGGAGAAACTAATTTAGAACTTTATTCTTTATTTAATGGTTCTCCAATAAAAGGGTCAGTACTCACTGGAATCTAAATCTAGAAATGGATATCCAAATTTAGGGGTGGAGAAGAGAGCTAGGAAAAGCCCTAGTTTGCTCATGACTCCTGAATTCTAGTCCAAGTTTGCCACCTGTTGTGAAATTTTATTCCATATGACTAAATCTCTCAAAGGATGTATGGGAGAAGTATTAGATAATTCTAAAATTAAACCAAGATATACAGTTTAAAATCAGGACTTAGTTCATAGTCCAAATCACAGAAAGACAACTAAGTTGTGAGAGGCAGTCACTATGAAACCAGAAGAAATAATCACTGAATACACAAAGGAGAGGTCAGATTACAAAAGAGCACATAAAGTTTGAAAATGTATGCATATAACGTGTATGTATGCAATGTGCATGCACATGTGTCACATATACGGAAAGAACAAGGTTTATAAAAACCACCTAAGTTAACAGAAAAAGGCAAAATTATATGGTTTCCTCTCTTCAAGTTAATAAGAAAATAAAACATTCTAAACAGTCAGGCATTTAGAAGGGAATAGCTTTTATTATCAAGAAAATATACTTTTATTTAACTCAAGTCTGTTTCTACTCCAATAGTTTCATCAGGTCAGAAAGGCAGACCTTTTAGTAAGGTGAGAGGAGTAAAAGACGGGCATGTATAGGCTGAAAAGGTGCACAGGTGAGTGTGTTTACTGACACATCTTATCCCCCTAAATATCATATTGAAAAAGTATATGAATACATCCCAGGAAAAAATAAATCAATTAATCAACTCTGAAAATCCTTCATTTCTACTTATAAATGACACCATGCTGACTATATATAAGGTTAAAACATAATGTTGTCTCTGTTTACTCTTCAGTTTGGTGATGTCTGACAAAGAGGTGAGCAAGAACTTGATCAGCCCAACAGTAACTATGTGGAGAAGTGGCAGTGAGGTAACTAATGTGACAAGTATTGTAAGTTAGCAAGGGAAACAGTACTGACATACACAGGCATTCATAAATACTGTTCTATGAATGTACAGAGTATCAAAATTCACTCTCATAAATTCTTTTGAGGTTTGAGACTGACTGCTAAACTACTGCTAGCATTTACTGGGAATATTTCGTCCCCTTGAGGGCATTACAAAGCCCTTCGCTCTCTGACATGTCCGAATAGCTTTGCACAAAACAAAAGGCATTTAAAAAGGAGAGGGAGAGATCAGCCTGGGCAACATAGTGAGACCTCACCTCTATTTAAAAAAAAAAAAAGAAAGAAAGAAAAGAAAAATTAGTTGGGGGGCTCAGTGGTGCACATCTGTAGTCCCAGCTACTCATGAGGCTGACGTGGGAGAATCTCTTGAGCCTGGTAGTTTGACATTGCAGTGAGCTAAGGTCGCACCATTGCACTCCAGGCCTGGTCAACAGAGAAAAACCCTATCTCTAAACAACAACAACAAAAAATAGACAGGAGAGAGGGGGAAAATAGGAAAATGTCTGCCTGAGATAGTTTGGGCTCTTCTGCACATTTCCCTACCTTTTAGTATTAAGACCCACTCAATGTCTACTCTCCTCCATATTACAGGTACAGACATTTAAAATGAGCCTAATATAATAAAATGTAAACATAACTAGAACATGCCAGAAAATATTTTACTTTTTCCTAGCTACATACTATGAACACTCATATGAAATGGATTTCTCACAGTACATAACACTTAATGTATTACATGTGTGTACATATATATAAAATCTATATATATTAGAATCCATTTCTTCAGAGGATCTCTTATGTGCCATGTACTAGAGATACAATGATGAAGAGAAAACAGACATATTCTTTTCCCCTCATGGAAAGTGCAGCCTAATGGGGAAAAGAGACATTGAATAAGCAAGCCAGCAGGTAAGCAAACGAAAAAAATACACATTCACATACATAACCCACAATACATGTAAAATCACACAGAAATAAATAGAAAGAAGCAAGCAAATCCAAAAGGGTAAGAAAAGGATACTGTGAGTGAACAGATTGTTGAACTAAGAGGCCTGAAGAAAAGTCACCTGGTATGAGGAGTTCTAAGCAGAGAGAGGGAACAGTATATACTAAGGTCTGATGCAAAGAGGAAGCTTAGTTTGGTGGAAAAAGTGAAAAGCCAGTAAAGTGTAATTTAAGTTTCACCGCAACACTAACCTCAATTTCACGAAGTTTGGCTCGTTTCTCCTCACTCATTTCAGAGTACTTAGAGAACTTGGATTCAGTTATTTCTTCTTTGATTGGATTAGAGTACAAATGATGTTCTTCAGATTTAGAACTTTGAGTATCTTCTTCATCTTCACTTTCTTCTTCTTGACTTTAGAAATAAGCAGAATACACTACGTCAAGGCAACAAGAGTGTACCATATTTACAGTCCACACATTTTATTATTCACTGTCTTGGAGCTTAAATAACATAAGCAAAACAATACAATTCATACCTCAAGCATTTTTTGCAAAATATTCCATCAATATTTTATAGACAATTTTATAAAACACTTCTTTCCTGACAGAAAAAGTTTGAGCTTCAACATAAGCATACTTTAATAGATTCTGCTTATGTTAATCTATTAAAGTGTGCCTTTAAATCTATCTGTGTGCCTTCCATTTGCAACAAACTTTCCTTGCATCAGTTAAATGAAATGAATAATCAACAGTTTCTGCATACTTCACAGTACAGTGATTTCAAGAAGCTTTACGTTTTCCATTCCTGAGTTACTTCACTCATATTGAGTAACAATATTCACAAATATTGTACATTCTCATTTATAAGTGAGAGTTAAGCTACGAGGATGCAAAGGCATAAGAATGATACAAGGGACTTCTGGGACTTGGAAGGATAGGAGGGGCTGAGGAATAAAAGACTATATATTGGGTACAGTGTATACCGCTCAGGTGACAGGTACACCAAAATCTCAGTAATCACCACTAAATATCCATGTAACCCAAAACAACTTGCACCTCAAAAACTATTAAAATGAAAATTTAAAAAAAGATTTATGTGTGCCTTTAGTAATTTCAGCAGAACCTATAATCAATCTAGAAAACACATGAACTTGAGTCACAGAGTTATTAGGAAATAATCAATACAGCTAGTAAAGACCTTATCTGTTTAGCATACACCTTAATAATAAAGCAATGTATACATTTCATATATTAGCAAATATAAGTATTCACATTTTAATTGATTCTGAAACTTGCAGTGGTTCTGAGTCAGACAAGAAGAAAATAAAAATCTGAAAGACAGTCATGAGTAAGTCACTTAGGATACAATGAAGAAAAATATTCCTGTCCTTCCAGAAGCAGTCTAGTGGAAACACAAACAGGCAACTATGTGTAAAGCTGGTCAGTCATCAATACTGGTACAGGAATAATAAAGTGTTTCTGAAGCACAAAGAATGAATGGGTTTAAAAAAAAATGTTTTATGTTCTGGGACAAGGTGGTGTGTGTGTGTGTGTGTGTGTGTATTATTGTCAAATAAATCTGGGCAAAACAAGATACCCATATACAAACAAACTCAGAATGTTTATGTATATACAAACAAAATTCCTTACAAACAATATTGACTGTGATAACAACATTACTGGCATAACAGAACAAACGCTGTTTTGCCTTTGAAACTTGAACCTTGCAAGACCTTCTATGGTTAGTATTTGGGTACTGTGTACGTTCCACAACAAGCCGAAAGATTCCTTTTAATATACATGTAGAATTATTCCTAATAATGTAAAAACAGTTATAATAAAATTCTTTCCAAATAAAATTTAAATAAAGTTTAATATAATAAGACTTTCATTGTATGAGAGAAAAATTTAAGCCAGGCAGATAAAAAGAAAGTACAGTCAATTCTGAATCGGAAAAGATATAGTACTGAGAAAAATCTGATACTAGCTTTTAAATTTCTCACCCACTGGCCCTTTCTAGACATTACTAAAGTGTTGTACTAACTTCATCTTCAGAACTCCACAAATCATTAATATCGCCGTATAGGTACAACTCAATACCTGTATTATTAGTATTAGGAAAAGTCAAAAACAACAGTTTAAAAATATTCTTTTCGGAAAAAAAAGAATATTTTTACCTAATATTTCTCATGAATTTGTCACAAATTCCTATATATAGTTTTAACTTTTTTCAAAACACAAAAATTTCCTGTTTTATGGTGCATAAAATTTTACAAGTGTTTCAGATGCTTTTAAATTGCTGAAGTGTATGTGTGTTTATGTAAACTGGGATGTTTACTGAAGAATTATTCTAAGACTCAATAAGGAAGTGATTTCATTAAACTCAGTCACAGTTACTATGAATCAATATAGCAGATATTGATTACTGAACCACTTCTAATCTGTTAAATTTTTTCTAATTTTTTTTTGTTTTTTGCAATTTCAAATATTCCTTGGTAAACATTCTTATATGTTTACCCAAATGTCTGCTTTCAATCATAGATGAATACAGAACAGGTAATAGATGGAATTAAAATGATAAAGGTGTCACAACAGTATGTACAATAGTATTATATCATTTATGTTCAAATAGCTATCCATGTTTTTATTTACACAGAAAGGGTCCAGATGGCTGAATATTAAACATTTAACCATATTACTTAAGACTTTTAAAATTAGCTCTATTCATAATTTAAAATACATAAATATTTTAAATTACTACTATGATTTTTTCAAAGCCTAAGCAGTTTTTCTCAACTGGTTTTGGCCTTAGCTTTAGTCACAATTCGAGGTTCAAATCTTATCACAGATTATTCCTCTTGTTCTTTTTTTTAAAAAAACATGCAAGTTCAAGATTCTAAATTCATACAGTATTCAGTACAAATGAAACTGCTTTTGTAACTTTTCTCCAAAACATGCTTTTTAAAAATCACATTTCTGCCACAAAATTGCCACAAAATACAGTAATTACTAGTTACAAAATCAGCCTTAAGTAAAAAGGCATTTCTGATTCAGCCACTAGAGAGTAGTAGTGAGGCTTGAGAAAATTTCAAGGATCAGAAGCTGTATGTGAAAGGTTTTTTTTCCTTGCTTTGTACTTTCTACTTTTTTACATTATTATGATTTATCTGGAATTCCTAAGAAAAATGAAAAATCTAAAATTATACTTCTAGTGATCCAGGCTTCCATCAACGTTTGATTATTCCAACATCCATGCTAAAATGTACTCATATTCCAAACATTAACACAAATATCAGTTTTATGCCAAAAACACTAATACCTTTATAGAAATAAAACTAATGAAACAATACTTTTTTTCAGTTCAATGGCTTTTCTACCCTGCCTTCCCCCCAAATTAAACAATTATTTTGATGAGTACATGTACTACTTTTAAAGCAGTGATTCTAAAATGGTAAGATGTCACTAATGATAGGATCATGAACATAAAAAGAGTTCACAAAACCACTTTTTTAAAACAAATTGAACTAAACTGTTCCCAATTTGTGCATTCCTAAACAGCTTCAGATAGCTATTTCCAATAGCAAGCAACATCTATATTTTGTAAATATTTTGTCATCATCACTGCTAACTTGTTCTAATCATACCAACATTTCTGGAAAAACAACATTGTAGACAAGTTTTCACCATCATATCAAACTGTGTTTCTATAACCTGGCGATTGATCACATTTTCCCAACAATCCAAATGCCCATTTATTAAATTCACACAAATGCCCATATTGTGCTAGGACATACCGGCTTTCTCTTATTTGAGAACAATAAAAGAATGCAAAATTTATAAAGACAGAAACCTGCGCTTTGTGTTTGTGATAACATCTCTTCCTACTCATTAAAAAAAAAAATCAACTCCCATTGCAATTTTAAAAAGTGTCAAGCACTTCCTAAAAACTACCAATACAAATTTGCAAAAGAATTTGAGAACAGAGTGTCAAAAACAATTTTGGGGTGATTAACAAACAGCAAAATCAAAATTATTCTCCATATTTCAAAAGAAATGTTTTCCCCCCTCTGTATTCATTCTTAGTTCTTCTGAAAGGTTTACATTTAAATAACATTTAAATGCAAAAAAAAGTAACATTTAAATGCATCCCTAATGCAGTTTTTTCTTAGCAATGTACAATCCAAAAGAAAAGGAGTATAACCTTTCCTACTCACATTTTAAAAACCACTTTTTGTGGAGCCCAAAACAGTATTTGATGGCAAAGGTTTGAAACAAATGCAGTTGATCAATTAGTAACTACACGGTGAGAATGTAACCTAGCATAAAAACTCAAAAGCAAAATGCAACCAGATGCATCAACACCAGAAAACAAAAGCTCTTTTATTCACTGGAAAACCAATGGAGAACTACAAATGATCCTCTCACAAATTTTTTTAACAGTTAAGTTTTCCACTTTGCTATTATTTCCACTACATGAAAAGGGGAGTGTATATGAACAAGAAACAGTATATTCGAAACTTAGATTCTTACTTTTGATTTTCTTCTTCTTCTGATTCTTCATGCTGGTCAAATAATTCCCATTTAGAAGTTGTAACAGCTGAATGGAAGGAAAAGGAGGATGTAATTCCATGAGGTAAACTAGCATTTTGCAGTAGCACAGTGGAAGCTGAGCTTTAGAATTGAAAAGTTCATATTACAGAAGTTTTTTTTAATCTATGTTTATCAATTCTCTAAATAGCTATTTCTATGTGCCAAATCTCTTTCATCACACCAACAGTATAATTCAAATTCATGAAGTGACGAATAACACCATTCTTATTTCTGTGCTGAATGTTAAGATGTATTTCATTGTAACCTATAAATACTAACAATTACAGATTATTAGCACTAGGATACAGGTCTAAGTGTGAAAGGCAGGTCTAAATGGCATCTAATCAGTTTAGCACTATGGGAGAGTCAAAGCTTGGTTTCTCTGAAACTGACCTCTAGACATTTCTACATAGGTTCAGTTTCCCCATCTATGTTTGCTACTAAAATGGCTTAACCATTATGGGAGAGTCAAAGCTTGGTCACAGCTTGCTTTCTCTGAAACTGACCTCTGTACATTTCTACATAGGTTCAGCTTCCCATCTAGGTTTGCTACTAAAATGGCTTAACCTAAAAGGTTTGCATTGGTATCTTATTACTCTCAAAGCTTCCAAACTGAAGGACCTAAGAAAATTATAACAGCAACACCAACCACAATCAAAGTGTACACTAGACACAAAATACGGTAACATTGAGTATTAAGGTTAAAACATGTTATAAAACATAAAAGGAAATTATATATATAAGCACACCAATAATTAATTTATAAGTACTTCATTTTAAAGTATTTATTTTACTTTTACTTACCCTGTGCTTCCAATTCAGATTCATCCACAGCTTCCCATTTTGATGGGGCAACTTTGAATATAGGCTCATTCTTCTTTGAGTCTTCGGTTGCATCCACTATTACGGAAAAATAAGCCATTAACCCTGATGACTAGGGGATGACCCTTAGTATTAGGTTCATGGGTATTCACTATATTATTAAAAAGCAAAGTAAAATAAGGACATAAATGGACAAACAGTAATACTAAGAAGAAGGACTATGGCTAAACCAATTCTCTGCATCTTAGGGCAAAAATTTTAACAGCAGATATTAAAATTTATATATAATTTATTTTATATATTAACTAACTTATATATTAATAAATTAATTCAGAAAATACAGGTTAGTAATATATCTAGCAAGTGAAGAAGTTGAAAAGTAAAATCTTTAATACCTTTACCTAATGTTTAAAATACAAAACTGTACACATTATTCAATATTTAAACATATAATTCAAATGTACCAAAGAGCTATGTATAGTTCCTATTTTCAAAATGATTTTAAGCAGCTAGGAAAACTGAAGTTAAGTTAGAAAAATTAACAATAAATACAGAACTGATAAAACCAGATATACAGGATTATGCATAATTGAGCATAAGATTTTGCTTATAATTTTCTGACAATTAAGACAAAAAGAGAAACCTACTAATATTTATAGAAGGCTGATTGTCCCAATAAAATGTGACCAGAAAAAAGGCTTCTAATATATTTATTAATACAAATAAATGTATTACTGGGTATTAGAATTTTGAAAAATCAGAAATAAAGAAGTTAATAATTTGATACCTTAATGAGAAATTAACCTTTTTTAACATTAGCATGTATGGGAAATTAGAGTTTTGGTAACCAAACTTATCAGCTAGATTTAATCGGTTTGAAATTGGAACTTACAAGGCACTCCATCAAGATCATCATCAAGACTTTTTATAGGGACTCCATCAAGATCATCAATGGGAGTAGCATCAATAGGAATTCCATCTACATCTTCCAGAGGTGCACCATCAAGCTCTTCCTCGATGGGGGCACCATCAAGGTCATCTGGTACATCCTATAGAAATGTGTACTATTTTAACATTTTCCTTTGCTTGCTGAAGTCACATTGCTTATAAGATTAATTTGTAATCCAGCCAAGCCAACATACCCGGATACCCACACTCAAGGTACAATGTAAGAACATAATAAGAATATATTCTATCATCCAGTTTGCTAAAGGAGTAGTCAGTTGTGTATTTATTTAATGTTTGCCAAGTGCTCATTGATGCCAGGTACGATGTGAGGAAATTATGAGTAAAAACAAGTTTGGGTTCCCTGTCATAGAGCCTGGTAAAGGTTTTGTTGTTGTTTTGGCGGGTGGTGGGAACCAGGAAATCAGATAATCACAACAATATGTACTTATCTGTAACTATGATAACTGCTACAGCAAAAAGGCGTATCATACTATTAGCATAGCAAGTTTCACCGAAAGAGGTCAGAGAAGGCTCTCTAAGTTTATACTTGAGCTGCGATCTAAAGAGTCTCAGGTAAAGAGAAGTCCCAGAAAGAGGAAAGAACATGTATAAAGGCCAATGGTGGGTGGAAACACATTTAAGAAACTGAAACAAGGACTATGTGGGTTGCAACAGTAAGGCCAATTAGGAAGATCCTGCAGGAGTGAAAGTGAAAACATAATAGCTGACTAGCAAGGCAGAATTAAAGATGAAAGATTCAGTAATAATTTAGGAGGTTAAAAAAAAAAAAACAGAATAGTGACATATATTATCTGCTATCATGTGATGCATCTTTTCATACACATATTTACTTATATAGCTGTCTTTAACAAAATAAAGTCATGCTATATATATTGCTCTATTAAATGCTTTTTTCCCCACTATTAATAATATATCATAAATCTTATATCCTTAAATAAAAACACTACTCTTCAATTTTCACATAAGGACACAAGACAGAATTCCTGTTATACGTAATTTTTGACTCCTGGATCCAACAATAAAAACCCACTATTTAGTGGTAAATAGTATTTTTCACAAAGAAATGTACTTCACATATGTAACATATCACACCACCAAGAAACCTCCACCCCAGATACAAATTTTAAAAACCAAACACACAGTGCCTACCTCTGTTTCCTTTTCTTCAATAATATTTACAAGTCCTAAGAAAATATTTTGTAGTTTGATCAAAAATGGTTCTGGATAAATTGCCCAATCTTCCCATGCTCTGAAGCAAGTCATTACCCGTTGCTAAATAAACAGGAAACAGACAACAAATTTTTATTTTGGGCTATGTGTCTCAAACTTCAGTTCATTAGAATCACCATCAAGATTTGCTAAATTTGCCTTGAAACTGGCAATTTTTTTAAACTTTAAAAAAAATAACTATATATCATTACCATATTTTTAAAAAAATGTCACCTTCTAATTAAAAGGAAAAAAAACCCCAAAAATAAACAAAATGAAAAATAAACAATAACTATCTGCTCTTTATCACCTAAGGTCAGCTCCCATACCATTAGTACTACATATGAGCCACATTCCAGGAAACACTTACATAGAAACTTATGAAAACTGCAAACCTAAGTAGCCAAGTTTTGACCCGAATCCCTTATGGTCCAATGAAGTACCTCCTAATTCCAGGTAACACTTTACTCTTTATCTTCCCTAAACTTTTCTTTAAATTCTAACTTACGGTCAAAATTTAAGGTCAAAAACTTTTAAAATGGGAGTTGTCTGAATGCCGTAAAAATGGTCAGGCATCTTCCCAAACTAATAATTTTTTTAACAATGTCTTCTTTCCATGAAAGCACATTTACTTATTCAATTATAAGTAAAGTAATCCACTTGGCTTTTCTTAACACTGGTCTACAGCTTAAGAGGTCATAAAAAAATTGGTAACAGAATATACTTTCTAAACATAATTAAAATGTATGTCTTTAATCCAGCCAAATAACATATACCATTACAAAAAAAGTGATTCTTCTGGATGTTTTATGAAAAAAGACTAACATTTATAATATTTAAATAATACTTTAAAATTAAACATCTGACAAAATATCTTTAAAATTTTTTATTTTTTTGATAAAAACAAAAATGATAGAATATTAAAACAGTAATTTCTGTAACATCTAAGTTTTAAATTTATGTCTCATATTTGACCCCCCCATCCATTCAAAACACTAGGGCAAAAATAGTAAAACAGTAAACGTACCTTAAAGTTTTCAGATTGTAAATGACCTTGAATTGTACGATAGGTGGCATTGAGGTCTGAAAATATCTGACATAACTTTGTTTCAAAACTGAAATTCAAATAATGCATTATTTGAAATAAAATGTTTAAAATTCCTTTCTCTTTCAGTATGCTAGACAACGAAAACCCCTCCTGAACTTAAAATACTTACAAATTAGTCAAAAATTTATTAAAAATCAAGAACTAGGTGTTTAAAACCATAACTAAATTGTTTTAGCTCTTAATACTCTAAATTTTTCTCCTACAAACTCCCCAACAGTCCTAAGTATTAACTTCCTTTATTAGCAAGGAACTTTACACCTAGGATACATTGAACCATCTGGTCCAATTTATTTATGAAACAGAAATCTTAGAAAAGTGACTCATCCAAGGCAAAACAAAAACAATAAACTAATAGCAGACACAAGAGCAGGACCCAGAACTCTCAATTTCTTTTCAGAGTCACTTCCTAGGGAAAAGCTTCCCTCTGCCTCATTCACAAAATAAACACAGAAGGAGAGCTCTGGGATACTGAAGAAGAGATATTCATTAATTAGAATACAGCAACATAACTTCCTTTTGCCTTAGAAAACATTAACAATGAACTAAAATCAATATACTGAGGATCAGAAGAGAATACAGACTCCATAAATAGTTAATGGTATGTCTTTGGTCTCTTATGTTTGCCAGTATAACACTGTTTCAATTTATTTACTATACGAGTAGCTAGATATGCAATAAAAAAAGTTATCTTTAACACCACCTATCTGTTCTACTGTCAATAACTAAGGAAGTGATATAAAATCTTTCCCAAAAATTGGTAATTTAGCTTAAGTGTAAGCCAATTTTTTAAAGCATCCTACAAACCATGAAGAAATTCAAATTAGTCTTCCCTCAGTATCCCTGAGGGGATTGGTTCCAAGACCTCCCATGGACACCAAAATCCATAGATGCTCAAGTTCCTGATTGAAAAATAGCCTAGTATTCACCTGTAACTTATGCACCTGTTAAATCATCTGTTAAATCATCTCTAGGTTACTTACAGTACCTAATACAATGTAAATGCTATGTAGAGTTTAAAAAGTGTCAAGGAAAAAAGTCAGTACAGACAACTGTTTTTCTGAAATATTTTCAATTTGTGGTTGATTGAATAGATAGATAGAGAACCCACAGACATGGAGGGCTGACTATATTTCTTATTATTGGAGGATGTTAACAAAACAGTCCTCTTTTCTGAACTCCTTACCCTTAAATACTTTATTTCAGGAATACCATTATACTTACAATTTTCTATAATATGAAGCATTAGCAACTTTGGCTGAAGAGTTGTACAAAACATCAGAAACCAAATATAATCTGGCAATCTATAAATAATACCAAAAGATAACACAAAATAGATTAGTATAAGGCTAATGTTTAGCTATAATTTAATAATGGCTACTAATCAGAAGAGTTACATGAAACTCAGTATCACCACAACCATAACTTGGGCAGGGATGAAATTTGTTAGTTCATTTACATTTCAATTTGTTTGTAACTTGTATGTTAATGAACCTAAATTTTCAAGCAGAAGTAACATAAGACTGCATGGGAAAAATTTCATCAGTCAAGTTCTTTGTACAAAAACAAAACCAATTCTAATCCCAAAAGATGGCAACTATCTCCCCTTTTCTTAATTAAATGCTCATAAAGATAAATTCATTCCCATACCTTTTTAGGAAGGGGTGTCTTTAAGATGGACAATGACTCAGTAATGCAATCCACTATTTCTTCAGCAGCTTCAGCATTATTAAGACAGAAAACCATTGCATCTCCAATATCATTTTTCCTTGGAGTTAATCCCCGCAAGATTTCTTCCAATTTATCCCTCTGTCTGAACATAAATTGTTTTAACTTATAATTATTTCGATGCAATTTCAAATGCTATTGTAGCTTTTGCTGACAAACTAATTTCTTTAAAATATACTCACATAAAATAAATCTGAAGACTGTAATGTATTAAGTCCGATTTGTGTTGTGTCCCCCAAAATTGTTAGAATTTTTTGAAGAAGTTACGTAAGAAAGAATACCCTGTAGAACTATTACAAGATTCCAATGATGTTTTCAGCTTATAAATTAAGTAAATTTAAAATTATGGGCATTTCTTCAAGAGTCTTTAAGAGTGTCCCAGTCATACCATCCCATGATACTGAAGAACTTTCATGTTCTTTACTCCCCTTCTTTGAAGGAAGTCTATTGCTTTAGCACTTCTGCCTGGGATTAGGACAGGCTAACTTTTTCTGTAAAGGAAAAGACTGGCCTGGTACAGCGGCTCATGCCTGTAATCCCAGCATTTTGGGAGGCCGAGGTGGAACCACAAGGTCAGGAGTTTGAGACCATCCTGGCCAACATGGTAAAACCCCATCTCCACCAAAAACACAAAAATTAGCCAAGCACAGTGGCAGGCGTGTGTAATTCCAGCTACTCAAGAGACTGAGGCAGGAGAACTGTTTGAACCCGGGATGCAAAGGTTGCAGTGAGCCGAGATTGCGCCACTGCACTCCAGCCTGGGTGACAGAGCAAGACTCCATCTCAAAAAATATATATAATTATTTTAGGCTTTACAGGCCATATGATCTCGATTCCCCTACTGGTAGAGCACCAAAGCAGCCAGACAACACGTAAAGGAAGAGGATTAGCTGTATTCCAATAAAACATTATTTTCCAAAACAGGAGGCAGCCAGATTTAGCCTATAAGCCGAGTTTGCAAATCCTAGGACTACAGTGATTATGAACATATACCTTCAAAAGCAAATACACTCAAACGGTATTGCACTTCACTGGCAAATGCTCTCATAAACAATAAATCAATGCAACAAGTATTAAGATTTACAGATTGCAGTAAAGTTCGTACAGGCATATCTCAGAGAGACTGTGAGTTCGGTTCCAGACCACTGCAATAAAGCAAATATCTCACTATAGCAAATCACACAAGTTTTTTGGTTTCCCAGTGCATGTAAAAGTTATGTTTAATACCATATTTTAAGTCTATTAAGTATGCAATAGCAGTATGTCCAAAAAAAATGTATATGTTACTTTAAAAATGCTCTCTTGTTAAAAATGCTAACGATCAGCCGGGCGCGGTGGCTCAAGCCTGTAATCCCAGCACTTTGGGCGGCCGAGGCGGGTGGGTCACGAGGTCAAGAGATCTAGACCATCCAGGTCAACATGGTGACCGTCTCTACTAAAAATACAAAAAATTAGCTGGGCATGGTGGTGCATGCCTGTAATCCCAGCAGCTCAGGAGGCTGAGGCAGGAGAATTGCCTGAACCCAGGAGGCGGAAGTTGCGGTGAGCTGAGATCGTGCCATTTCACTCCGGCCTGGGTAACAAGAGCGAAACTCCGTCTCAAAAAAAGAAAAGAAAAAAACGCTAACCATCATTGGAGCGCTCAGTGAGTCACAATATTTTTGCTGGTGGAAGGTTTTGCCTCGGTTTTGATGGCTGCTAACTCATCAGGGTGTTGGTAGCTTAAGTTTATGGTGGCTGCAGCAATTTCTTAAACAACAATGAAGTTTGCTGCATCAAGTGACACTTCTCACAGGGGATTTCTCTGTAGCATGAGATGCTGTTTGTTAACATTTTACCCAGAGGAGAACCTCTTTACAAATTATAGTCAATCCTCTCAAACCCTGCACTGCTTTATCAACTAAGTTTATGTAAAATTCTAAATCCTTTCACTTCAACAATGTTCACAGTTTTTTCATCAGAAGTAGATTTCATCTCAAGAAACCACTTAATTTGCTCATCCCTAAGAAGCATCTCCTCACTCTAATATTAAAGTTTTATCATGAGGTCACAGCAATTCAGTCGCATCTTTGGGATCTACTTCTAATTCTAGTTCCCTTGCTATTTCTACCATATCTGGAGTTACTTCCTCTACTGAAGTCTTGAATCCCTCAAAGTCATCCATGAAGGTTAGAAGTAACTTCTTCCAAGCTCCTGTTGATTTTATTTTACATACAAAGAAAAAACTGAAACATTTTTAAGATTTTTATTTCTTTATGTTTAATAGAGACAGGGTCTCACTATATTGCTCAGGCTAGTCTTGAACTCCTGGTTTCAAGCTATACTCCAGCCTCGGCCTCCCATAGTGCTGGGATTACAGGTCTGGGCCATCAGCCCTGGCCCACAAATGTTCTTAATGGCATTTGGAATGGTAAATGCTTTCCGCAAGGTTTCTAACTGACTTTTTCCCAGACCCATTGGAGGAATCACTATGGCAGCTAGAGCCTTATAAAATATATTTCTCAAGTAAGACTTAAAGGTCAGAATTACTCCTTGATCAATAGGATACAGAATGGATAATGTGTTAACAGGCATGAAAACAGCATTAATCTCTTTGTACATCTCTATCAGAGATCTTAGGTGATCAGGTACATTGTCAATGAGCATTAATATTTTGAAAAAAAAAAAAAAAATCATTTTCCTGAGCGGGTCTCGATAGTGAGCTTAAAATATTCAGTAAACCATGCTATAAACAGATATGCTGCCATCCAGGCTTTGTTGTTCCATTTATAAAGCACAGGCAGAGTGGATTTAGTGTAGTTCTTAATGGTCCTGGGATTTTTGGAATAGTAAATGAGCACTGGTTTCAATTTACCAGCTGCATTAGCCCCTAATAAGAGAGTTAGCCTGTCCTTTGAAACTTTTAAGCCAGGCAGTGGCTTCCCCTCTCTAGCTATAAGTTCTAAATGGCATTTTCTTACAATAAAAGGCGATTTTGTCTACACGGAAAATGTAATTAAGGGTAGCCACCTACATCAGTGACCTTAGAGCTTCTGGATAATTTGCTACAGCATCTACACCAGCACTTACTGCTTCACCTTGAACTTTTATATTATGAAGATGGCTTCTTTCCTTAAACCTCAGGAACCAATCTCTGCTAGCTTCAAATTTTTCTTTTGGAGTTTCCTTGCCTCTGTTTCCAAAGAACTGAAGAGAGTTTGAGCCTTGCTCAGGATTAGGTTTTGGCATAAGGGAATGCTATGGCTGGTCTGATCTTCTATACAGACCACCAAAACTTTCTATCAGTAATAAGACTGTTTTGCTTCCTAATCAATCATTTGTTCACTGAAGCAGCACTTTTAGTTTTCTTTAAAAACTCTTCCTCTGCATTCATAATGTGGCTTACTGTTTGGTGCAAGAGGCTTAGCTTTCAGCCTGTATCATCTTTTGAGACGCCTTCCTAACTAAGCTTAATAATTCTAGCTTTTGATTTAATGTGAGAGAAGTGAGACTCTTCCTTTCACTTGGAAACTTAAGGCCATTGTGGGATTATTAATTGGTCTAATTCCAATAGTGTTGTGTCTCAGGAAATAGTGAGGCCTAAAGAGAAGGAAAGATGACAGGAAAACAGCTGGTCACTGGAGCAGTCAGAATAGACATTTTTCTATTCAAGTTCATCTTCTTATATGACCATAGTTTGTGGTGCCACAAAACAATCAAAGATCACTGAGTACCATAACAGACATAGTAATAATGAAAAAGTTTGAGCTATTGTGAGAATTATGAAAATGTGACAGACATGAAGCAAGCACATGCTGTTCCAAAAATAATGCCAACAGACTTGTTTGACATAGGGTTGCCACAAACTTTCAGTTTATAAAAAACACTGTATCTCTAGAGCACAGTGAGTCAAAGCACAATAAAACGAGGTATGTCTATATTTAATTCTATACTCTTAAAATGCTTTTAGCTATTTTTTTCCCCATGAGGTATATAAGATGTCCTCTGAACATTTAATAAATATGTTTCTGCTTCTTAAATCAGCTAACTGCACTGTACAATTGCTGTGAAACCAATAATAGCACACACTTCATGGTGGCCATCTCACAGCTCACCACACATGGCAAATGAAGTGTGAAAATTATCATGAAGAGGCTTTGCATAGCCAACAACTGATCCCACTAGCCACATGATAGTTTTTCTTCTTTATGTTGCATTCAGAGAAATAAGAATTCTAGAGGTCCCCAAATAGTTTCTGTAAGAATCTAAAGTACTCCAATGCCAAAGAAAGAAGTCAACCATGTTTAAGAGATCATCACTAATTTTACCAGGAGAAAAGTTAAGGACAATAGGACACACACCTATACTTGCTAAGATGTTTAAAATGATAAAGCACCATGATGAAAGATGTTACTATTTTAAACATTCGCAAGTGAAAAAAAATTTTATTTTAGCGTTAACATCTTAATACAACTAGTAAAGCAACAATTACAATGTTTTTTTCTGAATATATAATAGAAATGAAAAATATCTTACTCTTCCTTAAGGGCTCCCTTTTTACTAGGTTCCTCTACAAAAGCTTCTGTTTCTTGCTCTTCTGACATTCCATGCAAGTATGGATTTAATGGTGGTGGCCTCCAAAAAGATCCATTTTTGAACATACGAAAATCTTCCGTCCGCCATTTAGTTGGAGAATCTCCCTAACAAACATTTAGAGTTATTATAAATGTCTAACAACTCAGAGTCAAAATTTAAAAAGTAACTGATTCTACTTGCCTGCAGGATAGAATAAAGCTTCCACCTATAGTAAACATGGGCTGGTGTCTGGTTTTCAAATAAGAACCTAAACAAAACAAACAATAAAACATTAAATATCATAGTCTTTTAAAAAAAAAGAGCTATCTTCAATTAAGTATAAATAAATGAAAAACACTATTTGCCTATTTAGTTATAAATAAAACAAATCCCTAAAGAGAACTTCACCTACTGCCATCCGATACCTATCCCCTTTCCCTTACCCCAGCCCTAGACTGCCTAAGTGACTGACATTAATACTCAGAAGGCATGCATCATACCAAGTCTTATGATCATTTTTATTGATACTGTATCTGGCAATGGAGAGATTTTCCCAATATATAATTACAAAAGCAGTGATCTTACACTACTTAAAGAGAGTTAGTATCTTAGGATACCATAACAATTCAGAGGATTAAGTAATTTCTTTTAAAACTCATTTGTTCAACTGTATCGCACTTATGATTCTTCCATTGAAAAGCATAATGAAATTCTCCTAGAGAATTCTAAAAAACAATACTATTTAAGCAAATCAAAATCTTACAGAAAATTGGTCTCAATACATTCTACTCTGATTACTAAAACTGCTTCTCATTCCACTGCAGAACTAATCCCATACTTTAAAAACTTTATTCTTGGAAATATCTTTAATTCCAAGAAATTAAAAGTAGTTTTAAAATGCATGCCTGAAGATAAACAAAATACGGCAAAACCATACAATGTAATATTATTTGGCCTTAAAAAGAAATCCCGAGACATGCTATAATATAGATGAATCCTGAGGACATTATGCTAAGTGAAATACGCCAGTCACAAAAGGACAAATACTGTATGATTATACTCATATGAGATTACCTAGAGTAATCAAATCCCTAAGGGACAGAAAACAGAATGGCAGTTGCCAGGGGCTAAGGAGCCAGAGGACTGAGGAGTTACTGTTTCACGAGTACAGAGTTTCAGTTTTGGAAGATGAAAAAAGTTCTGGAGATAGATAGTAGTGATCATTGCACAACAATGTGAATGTACTTAATACCATACTTAAAAATGGTTAAAATGGGAAATTTTATGTTATGTATTTTTTAAAAAATGCACACCTGAACATAGGATTGTTGATTTCTCTGTTCATAATCATAGCTTCAAACATTGGCCCTTCACGTACAACAAACTCTATCATTCGATGTATCAGGGCGAGCAAATTCCTACAACAACAACACAGTTAAAGAAAATGGATTCAGACCTACCACTATATAAAACTACACTTGACCTAAGTTACTATAATTGTGCAGAAAATGATTATTCTGATGACTAACACCAAATTTAATACCAAAAAAGTAACCTGGAGCATGTTAAGGCCTTGTGCATTAAGAGGGTGTGGGGCAGTGGGAGTAGGGAAGTGGGAGGGGATGGAAAGGTGAAGGAGGGTAGGAAACCACAATACAGCCTCATAGTAATATTTAATTTTCTAAATGTCACTTAATTTCATTTTCCAAAGGCAAAACATTAAATTATAAATCACAACTAATTGGAAAGCTGCAAATATTAATATATATAATCAGTAACTTAAGAGCCTGCATATTATTATACCCATCTAGAAATTTATTCACTATCTTAGTTTAAAACAAAAAAATTCCTAAACCAAGCACTTTTGTGGTGCTACTGAAATGTTATAACCATGGCTATAATTTAAAAAAAGGCAAAACTATTTAACAAGTTTAAGGCCTGATTCAATAAAAAAATCCATCCAACTCCTGTGTTTTTCTGGTACACATATACCAGATGGAGTTTTTATTAAATCTGACCTTTAATGAGGCAACATCCCTTTGGACCACACTTCAAACTAGTTCACGATTCATGAAATGAATAATTCTGCCTGTATATTATTTTTTTCCCTCCAAAACAGCAGAATTTGATATGCCTATACACTATCAATCAACAAAGAAATTATGCTGCCAAAGCCTTAAGTGAATGTAGTACTACTCTTCCCAAAATATTGCAAAATCGGGCACATGATGAGATGCCCTTCCCATTTTCTGTTAACAATTATTTTCCAATATTTTGCCAAAAATAAACATGTGAGTAGTTTTGTAGTACAGTCATTTTACTGACTGAACTCATAGTAAGCCTTTATTTTTAAAATCTGAAGCTGAGTCCTTAAATCATGTGATAGTTTATTAGACTCCAAATACAATTTTGGACACTGATTATGGTGTCAAGCAAAAATGACTCAGCTTATTTATAAGCTGCTTTTGATTTCTTATTTCACCAGTCCCCCAGTATATACAGTTGGCAAATAACACTCGGGAAAAGCAAAAGGATATTGGCTCTTGGTACAAGGCACACACTAAATTACACCTTTAGCATTCCCAGCTCAAATTACGTTCATATAACTGCTAGAATGTAAATAAATATATAGTTACAAAACAAGACAGACTTTTTTTGGCCCTATAATGCCCATGAACAATAAAATAATCTATCTCATGATGACTACAATTATTTTCTCATAGCTTTCAAGCAAACGTACTTCAAAGAAAATCTGTACATAGTGAAAAAAATTTAAGCCTAAAGGAAGTAAAAAAAAGAAAATTGCATCACAGTTTAAATCTTTAAAAAGGGGAAATTATGCATCTGAAACTACTAATTCAACCTTAAATTGTTAAAACAAAAAAAACTAAAAGCATTGCTTAATTTTTAATTTAAAAATTATTTTTCTTTCATTCAAGTAATTGCTCTGCAAATATGCAGTTCTTCAGCATTCATATGGTTAATGACATTATTTTGAAGGAAGGGAGATAATGTAAAGCTTTGATTCAATTCCAAAACTCCCACTGATATGAGCCAAATTAAAGCTAAGGGAAATTTTATGTTTAAGACTAATTACTAGGTGAACAAATGTTACACATCCAGAAACTTGTGTGAATTAAGTCAAAAGCAACTTGACTTCAGTATTAAAGATAGAGAAAAATTGTTTAGCAAGTTTAAAAACAAAGGATTCATCCTAATGGTGAGCGAAGATTTTAGGCAAAACGCATTCTCAAAATTTTGTTTAAAAATAAGCTGAGTCACATGTAAAGCTACCACTAGATATGTGCTTTGTTTGAATGCTACAAAAATACTATCCTGTGAATGCTTTTATCAGTGGTGAAATACCCACTATAGTTTTAAACAGGCTTGTAACTTATAAATCTATTTTTAGAAAATTAAAAGTTTCTAAGTATTTTTAAAATGTTTCATGATTATTTAAAATCAAAATCTGACAATTAATTGTTACAACTTGACTTCAAGATTACTAAAGAACTGTAATCACATTCTTCTTCCTTAAGGGATTGCGTTTATTTTAAAAATGGTGACTTTTCTATTAGAATAAAACAGTGTAGTACAAAAAGATGATATGGTTAAAGTGCATTATTTCATTATAAAATGGTAGTTATCTTATTCTGGGCTACAACAACCAAAAAAAAAAAAATTGTCTCTCAGTTATAATAAAACCACATTTATTGGAGTCGATCGTACCAATGTCTGGTCAAAAACTGTATACTTTCCCAATCCATCCCATGATGTTTTCCTGGTCCCCCGCTGCCGCAGACAGTTCAGCTGGTGTTGCTCACCAAGGCCAATGTCAAAGAGAATTTGGTATTCTTTTGTGTTCATTTATTATTCAACCAGTGTTGTGTTCCTGTGTTTGGGAAAAGGCTTAGCTTGACTGAGCAAGAGCATACCTACAGCATGAATTCTTCTGCTTTAATAGTGTGTTGAAAGAGAAAAAAAGGAAGAAAGGAAAATAAAAGTTTCCAAATATCTTTGTTATTATGAAAAGAAAGTTTCTAGTATGTCCAGTGTTCATGACAATAACAGGAATTTCTTCTTAAAATCAATTGGGGAAAAAAAAAACACAAAGCTATGCCTTCAGTAAGGAGAACTCAAACCAAGGTTATATATTAAATGCAGATAATTCAGAAAACAAGAAAAAATTAACAACAGATTGGGTCAAACTGTAATGTAATCTGAAATTTACAATACACTTAAAACACCTATTTTCCCATTGCAATAGTCTATCTTTATTAGACCAATGACTCCAAATCAGAGCTAATAAATACATTCTAACTACTCAAACTATAAACATTCCCTACGGTGCTAACAATAAAAACAAAAGAGATATTGACATAAAATTTCAAAGTATACAAAAGTTAGTTAAAATTTGACACATCCCCCCCAAAAAAGTACTGGGAAGGAACCATTGCTCAGTCAAGATACTACCTTTTCCTCAACACCATTTCTTTTTAAATTCAGAAGGGGATATTGTCTATATTTAGATCAGTAATAATAAAGAAAAACATGTACCTTTCTGTTGGGATAACCACTTTGACTATGGCTTGCGACAGAGTCTGTATATGAAGTCACATCAGATAATAAACATAGAATATGTGAGTATTGTTAACAAGTAACAAGCAAAAATATACATATGCATTGAAAATACTACATATCTAATCACAAGTTTTGCAGGCAATCACTGCATTTGAAGTCATTATACACTAAGCAATTACATAAATGCAAATGGATGTGTTCAGTGAACAATAAATGTTCACCAAATGCAAAGAATCAGAACATTCCTGCCAGAATGCACATCAATGCACTGAAATAGGTACTACACTGAGAATTATCAGATAAAGATTTTAATTTGTGAAATAATTAACTGTTTGCCTGACCATACAGTTTGCTACTTTGTTCCCAAGCCTTTAAAACCAGCCCTGTCATTTTAAGTGTAATTAATTCATAATAGAACCAACAAATTCTTACAACTTGAAATTAAGTTGGTTTTATGTTTACTAAAAAGAAAATACTCACCCTTTGCTTTTACTAGATTAACTTTTTTAAAAACCACATAAATCTTCTCAAATATTTTAATACCTCAGACCTAGCTGCCATCCAAACAATAACTACTTAGAAGTCTTTCTAACTGAAATGTCACTTAACCAAATACAAAGTATCACTTTCTCAGAACAAAGTAAATTTAGATACTAAGCTTAAAAGCAAATCTGGATACAACACTGGACAAAGGGAAAAAAAAACTTAACAAGTGGTCAAAAAAGGAATGGTAGTCACAAATAAAAATATGACCTAGTATTTCAAATACAGGGTTTCCATGGGCTAAGGCAGGGAACACATCTACTTATTTCTTTAAAAGTTGCCATAACAGAATTACACACACTTTTTCTATAAAATTGTTGAAAAGAAATACTACCACAGCTTTAGTATTTACAAATTAGATTCAGGCTTATGTCCATTTTTTAAATTACCTTCTCAAAATCCTCTTTGTTTTTAGGTGGTGGTAACATAGGAGCATTAGGGTTTTTTAACCGCTCTCTAGGCTGCGCATTAAAAGGCAGTCCGGATGGAGGCGGGGGAAGCGTATGTTCCATCATAGAAGGCGGAATGTATATTGGATGTGGAGGAATAGGTACAGCTTTACCCCAACCTAACTTCATTTCAAAAGACATAATCATTTTTCCTACAAGAAAGAAATGAAAGGTCACTTTGTTAACCTCAAAAGTTTCCAAATAAAATCTTTCTGGTAAGTTGAAATAATATTAATTTTAACCACTCCATTTCAGGTCCATTCCTTCCTAGTTTTTATAAATACATTTCCAAACCAAAGAAATACCTAAATTGTATAAATGGTTAATAAAAACATTCTTACCATTCAAATTTTTTAAAGCTCTTTCAGCATCTCTTCTATTCATAAAGGCCACAAAGCCACAATTTCTCTCTCTGGCTCTTTCTTCATCAGTTCTAGGCCACATAATTTTCACACTGGCTAACGGTCCGAATCTTCCAAATTCTTGGCACAGCATTTCTTCATTCATCTATTAAAAGGGGTAAAAATTTTTATAATGCAAAAAAGGGAAAAGAAAAAATTATTTTCAGAAAACAAAGTAGTTTTTACAAAACTAAAAGCAACATAGCAACATGCTACAATTTTCCATTCCAGTACCAGGAACTCTACACAAGTAAAATCCCGTGTGGGGCATCCATAAATCATTTCACACTAGAAATATTCTGGTTTATTTATTTAAAATGCCAGGGTGGAGAAGCTCAGTGGATGGAGAAATTAAAATTACTTTTACTCCCCATCTTCCTTTGTTGCAAGGTCCTGGATCTAAGTGAGATGTTTTATAGATGTTTTATATTTCAGCACTTAGTAACATTTTTCAAGCAGGCGTGGTTAGTACATTTAAGTTAAGGAGGAAATATTTATTGACAATGAAGAAAAATGAAGATCTAATCATCTGTTCTCCTTCTAACACTCAACCACCAATGTAATCAAATGCAGAGAAAACAAATAACAAAAATGCAAAATAAAATTTTTATTAACAGCCTGTCATGTATTACTACTACTACATTCTCTATTAACATAATCAACAGCATCAATGAAGGAAAAGAATTAAAATATAAAATTTTATCTATTATAAGAGTAGTTTGCTACTATGAGAAGAAAAAGGGATTCCACAAGGAAACAAGTATGCACCAGAAGTGGACAGTCTCAAAATAATATTGTTCATCACTGGTCATACCCTATTTAATAATAAAATCAGCACCTAGCAAAACACTGCAAATTCAGAGTTCAATCTCGTTACCGAAAGAGGAAACAAAAATATGTGGCAAGACAATCTGGGCCATACCAGTAAGTCTCAGGTTTACAAGACAACTCTAGAGACTATCCAGTTCCATCAGATTTACCAGATTCAGAATCTTGATTTTATTTGTTTGACTGACAAAGTAGTTTTCTTCCCAAAGCATAAAGCGTATCAACATTCATCTTACTTAATATTACCTGCGGATTAATGTTTCCAAGGTATAAATTAGTAGTGCTTGGATCTCCTACATCATGTGAGCCAGGTGCGTAATCATCAAGAACTGGGGAAATAAAGAAAAAAATAATTATAACTTGCAAAATATAAAGTTGGGACAATTTATCGATAAAAAGAGCAAAAAACTGTATTACCACCAGATGATCTATTTCTCCTTGAAGGTGCGTCCACTTAAAAGGGAGGAAAGAAAACAATTACTAGTTTTTAGAATACAGTAGTCCCCTCTTATCCTCGTCTGCTTTCCCCAGTTTGTTACCCAAGGTACAGTAAGATACTTCTGAGAGACAAAAAGACCACATTCACATAACTTTTTTTTTTTTTGAGAGAAGACTCTCGATCTACAGCACAGGATGGAGTACAATGGCATGATGTCGGCTCACTGCAATCTCTGCCTCCTAGGTTCAAGCAATTCTTCTGCCCCAGTCTCCCAAGTAGCTGGGATTATAGGCATGCACCACCACGCCCGATTAATTTTGTATTTTTAGTAGAGATCGGGTTTTACCATGTTGGCCAGGGTGGTCTCAAACTCCTGACCTTAGGTAATCTGCCCACCTCGACCTCCCCAAGTGCTGGGATTACACATAACTTTTATTTCAGTATATTGTTATAATTGTTCTATTACTTATTGTTCTATTACTTAATCTCTTACTGTGCCTACTTTACAAATTAAACTCTACCACAGCTATGAACATGTAGGGAAAAGGATAGTATATATCCATGGTTTCAGGCATCCACTGATGGGCCTTGAAATGTAACCCCCCATGGATAAGGTGGGAACTACTGTAATTAATCAAAAACATACACATTACAAATAAATGTTACTTACTAGAACGACGCTGACCATCAGAATCTGATTGAGGAGGTTCAAATCGACTTAATCTGCCTTTTGTTTTATGTCTCTCATCACGCTCTTCTTGAATTCTGTTGAAAATATTTACAATCACTTAAAATGAGCCAAAATATATTCATTCACATTTAAAAATAGCACTTATCAAATTACTATCATCAAATAACTAGAAATATACATAACTAAATACTGGTACTGATAACCAAGATTAGAGAGTCCCTCAGCTATACTACAACCATGAACAAATTTCTGATATATCACACTACCAATGGAATACAAAGCCTACTTTAAAGGTGAGGAGGAAATTCAACACTAAAATCACTGAATTTGTTTCTTGCTAAGTCTGACTGCCCCTCACTCCCATCCTACTGAGTATACTGTTTCCACTGCAAACAGGACTCTAGACATTAAATACATCAATTGAACTGAATCTTCATAATGCAAACAACCCAGATGCTGGATTAAATGCTAATTTATTTTCAAAGATACCCCACAAAATATCATCATCATATCTAAAACAATCTCATAGAAAACTGGCTAACAATAACTGGTATAGCATATTCTTTATACCTGCATCTGTTTATGTATCAGCTCGATATACCTATGATAATTATTCTCCACACTATAAAACTTACTGCTTTAATTCTTCTTTGAAGAGTTCCAAATTGCTTTTTTTCTTTTCTTTCTCTCCTTTTTTAAGTGGCTATAAAGGATACGACAAGTTATACTTCAAACAAAAGGTTAAGCAAAACTAATGATTCGATAAGAGCCTTTTTATATCATTTCAGTACAAATTATATGTTCTAATTATTTAAATTAAAACGAATGCTTTTTTTATGACTGAACTTCCCTTCCCCTTCCTCCAAAATAACAATTATTAATACAATTAAACAATTAAAATGACAACCAGTCAGGGAAATTAATGAACAAGCAGTAACTGAACTGCCATGGAAAATAACTGCCAAAAATACACACTCTTCAAAACAATCACCTTTGGAGGGCATCAATTAGTGGAGCAGTAAGTAAAATCTTTGGAATCCTCACTTAAACTGCTTCTTAAGCTGCTTCTGGAATCCTTCTTTTAGAAGTGCCAACATAACTTAATAGGGAAGAATAATCTTTTCAACAAATGGTGCCTGGACAACTGAATATCCACATGTAGAAAAATGAAGTTGGACTTCTACTTTACACCATCTACTAAATGTTCCAAAATTAACTCAAAATGGTTCACAGATCTAAATATAGGAGCTAAAACTATAAAAATTTTGGGAGAAAAACACAGTAATGAATCTTCATAACCCTGAATTATGCGATGGTTTCTTAGCTATGACACCAAAAGCATAAGTAACAAAAGAAAGAAAAAACAAACTGATAAATTGGACTCCATTAAAGTTTAAAACCTCCATGCTTCAACCAAGAAAGTGCAAAGACAACCCAGAGAACAGAAAACATTTGCAAATCACACAGCTGATAAAAACCTTGACTCAAGAAGATGTAAAATACTCTTACAGCTCAACAACAAAAATACAAATAACCTAATTAAAAACTGGGCCAAATATTTGAATAAACATTTCTCCAAAAGATTACAAATGGGCAATAAACACATGAAAAGATACTCAGTATCATCAAGTAAGTGCAAATCAAAACCACAATGAAGTACAACTTTACACCCACTAAAATGACTAAAATAAATTTTTAAAACAAGTTTTTTTGTTCTTGTTTTTTGAAACAGAGTTTCACTCTCATTGCCCAGGCTGGAGAGCAATAGTGCAATCTCGGCTTACTGCAACATCCACCTCCCGGGTTCAAGCGATTCTCCTGCCTCAGTCTCCCGAGTAGCAGGGATTACAGGCAGGTGCCACCATGCCCAGCTAATTTTGTATTTATAGCAGAGATGGTGTTTCTCCATGTTGGTCAGGCTGGTCTCGAACTCCCGACCTCAGGTGACCCGCCTGTCTTGGCCTCCCAAAGTGCTGGGATTACAGGCGTGAGTCACCACACCCGGCTTTTTTTTTTTTTTTTTTTTAATGAAGTTTCACTCTTGTTGCTCAGGCTGGAGTGCAATGGCACGATCTCAGCTCACTGCAACCTCCACCTCCCAGGTTCAAGCAATTCTGCCTCAGTCTCCAGAGTAGCTGGGATTACAGGCATGCACCACCACACCTGGCTAATTTTGTATTTTTAGTAAAGACAGGGTTTCACCTAGTTGGTCATGGTCTCAAAGTGTTAGTGTACAAAATGAGAAAACTGGAACCCTCATACATTACTGGTGGGACTGTAAAGTGGTACAGCCACTTTGGAAAACTGGCAGTTTCTCAAAAGGTTAAACACAGTTACCATGTGACCCAGCAATTCCACTTCTCAGTTTGTGTGTGTGTGTGTGTGTGTTTGTGTGTATCCAAGAGAACTGAAAACATAAGTTCACATAAAAAAAGCCCATACATCAATGTTTACAGCAGCATTAGTTCTAATAGCATAAAAATGGAAACAATCCACATATACATCTATTAAGTAATAAATGGATAAATATATGGTATGTCCATAAAATGGAATATTATTCCACCACAAAAAGGAATGAAGTACCTACACACGCCACAACAAAGATGAACCATGAAACATTATGCTAAGTAATGAAGCCAGATACAAAAGACCACATGTTGTGTGATGCCATCCATACAAAATGTCCAGAATAGGCAAATCAAGAGACAGAAAGTAGATTAGTAGGTTGTCAGGGACTGAAACCAATAGGAAAATAAATGGAAATGACTGATAATGGGTAGGAATTTCTTTTTGGGGTGCTAATAATTTTCTGACATTAGAGTGCTGATAGTTGCACAATTTTGAATATACTTAAAAACCACTTAATAGTACACTTTATTTATTTAAATAATAATTTTTTTTTTTTTTTTTTACTTTTTGTAAAGATGGAGTTTTGCTATGTTGCCCAGGCTGGTCTCAAATTCCTGTGCTCAAGCCATCCTCCACTCTCAGCTTCCCAAAGTGCTAGGATTACAGGTGTGAGTCACTGCACCTAGTCAATTGTATACTTTAAAAGGGTAAATTTTGGCCAGGCACTTGTAATCCCAGCACTTTGGGAAGCGCAGGTGGGCAGATCGCTTGAGCCCAGGAGTTCAAGACCAGCCTGGGCAAAATGGTGAAATCTCATCTCCACAAAAAATACCAAAAACTTAGCTGGGCATGGGACTACATTGCCTGTAGTCCCAGGTCCTCAGGAGGCTGAGGTGAGAGGACCACCTGAGCCTAGAAGGTTGAGGCTACAGGAGTCATAATCACACCACTGCACTTCAGCCTGAGTGACAGAGACTGCCTCCAAAAAAAAGGTGCATTGTAGTAGTGTATATGAATTATATCTCAATAAAGCTGGTTTTTTCACTGCTTTTAGAGCTATTTTTTAAGCCACACAAGAAAAACCAGTCTTACTATTCAATGCAGTATTTATTCACCACATTTGGCTCCAAATGACATACCCACATCTATCTACCATCTCCCATGAAAACTAACCCCTCAAAGAAAAAATATTTTTCTAACACTGAAAATATTATAAATGTCACTAATTCTGACAGAAGGTTCCAAAAATGTTCTGGGAAACATATACTACATGTACTAATAATTTAAATACCTCAGTTCAGAATTGCTTAAGACAACCCCATAGCTTTACATTTATACCCAAAATACAGTCAAGTTTTCACTTGCAATATATTATGAGCATAAACAGTAAATGTTCCCTGCTCAAAGAACATAAAGAATATCATCTATGTATCCTAATTCATTATGTCTCAGCTAAGTAAATTACTGGGTTAGAAAGCATCAAAACTTAACATCTATCAACCCCAACCCAACCAAAAATGAAAAACAAAATGCCAAACACTTGCTTATAGTGGAAGTATCATTGGCAGTATCATCTCTGAACATAAATGATCAATTACTTGAGTATGACTTACAGGTTTTTTGGTTTCTATCACAAGAAGAGATGGTGGTCTTTCGTTGGAAGACTGATTTGGAGGATTTTTTTGATCTGCAAATCTTGAAGATGGCTTATAGATTTTACCTCTTTTTTCATCTGTTTCATGTTCTTCTGAAATTTAAAATACTAAGTTTCAAAATTAATTTCGCATCTTTTTTACTTTTTCATTTGAAAACAAGTAAAAAGTAGTAAAATGCTTTTAGGATTAAGATGTATCACTATTGACAAACATGAAATTAAATTCAAATATTATCATCTCAATAATACTAATTTAATCATTTTGTAGCAAAACAATGATGCGTATTACAACTTCTGACTAGTGCTCTGCTGTCTTAAAACTTGAAAGGAACTAAACATGTTTATAAGCTATCTGGCTTCAATATCTCAGTAACTGACACTTGGCCATTTATCTTGCTAATTTAATATAACCACTAGAGGGTGCTGATAGAAAATGTAAAATTCAAAAGCAACCTTATTTCTTTCCACAATTATCTACCTGCGGTTATTCAATGGGGTTTGCTCAAAAACTATAATAGTTATACTTTATTAGTAATTATATTTTATAAACTTACCTTTAGCTGCATTAACGACACCCCCTCGCACAAATGTTTTCACCTTATTACCATCACTTCCTTCAAAGGCAGCAAGAAATTCCTCATAAATCTCAGCAGCTGCCTTTTCATCCTCCTAAATACACATGAAAATATTAATATCACAATACAAAAACTGTTAATGTACATACAGTTAAATTCATCAAGGAATAATATGGATGAAAACCCTCCCTTCGCAGGTCAAGCAGTCCCAACATGTAATAACATCTAATCTTTAGCAGATATTAAATATTAATAAAATTGAGAGGCTTTGCTCCTCTACTGCCAATTTGTATGATCTACTAGCAATTTGTAGAACCAGAAAAGAACCCCTAAGTATAGACTAATTAGTAAATTTGTTTAGAGACAACTCAAGCGCCAAATTGCATGACAACTGACTATATGAGAACATATTATGCTAGTAATGTTTACCAAGTTTCCAAGGCATGATGATTTAATTCAGTGAATATAAATATTTTTCAAATCACCAAAAACATGAGTATTAGAAGTTGAAGCAGCAATATCTACTGACAAGTGGCATTAAAGAAAAGAAAGCTCAGAAGAATCTTGATATTTTCAATTATTCTAAATGTCCCCAAAACATGTATGAACAGAAGAAGGGCCAATGGAACATAAAAGAAAATACAGAATAAAATTGAATAGCATGTGGAAATTTACTGTTTAATAAAAGAAGCATCTAAAATGAATGGGAAATAGATAAACTTTTCAATAAATGATAATGGGATAACTGGGTAATTATCTGAAAAAAGACAAAAATGAATCTATTCTTCACACCACATACCAGAATAAACTACAAAATAATTTAATATTCTTAAAAAATGAAACCATAAGCTTATAGTGGAAAAAACTTAACTGAAAAACCAGAAATCACAGGGAGACTGATAAATCTGATTGTACAACACTAGTTTTTGCATGAAGAAAAACACCAGCAGCAAAATAAAAAACAATCAACAAAGTGAGAAAAAAAATTGTACCATGTATAACAAACTGTTAATATAACTTACAGAAAACAATGGTTTAGATGTGAACAGACAGTTCACAGAAACAAACACAAGAAAAACTGTTAAACTTTCCTCATAATGAGAGAAATGCAAATTTAAAACCACTATTTTTCATGTAGGAGATTGTTGAAACTCCACTGTTGGCAGTGCTATGGGGAAACATTCATTTATACATTACTGACAGGGATGCAAACTGTTCCTGCCCCTACAGAGAACATTTTGACAATGACAAATATAGAAAAACTACATTTATGCATTTACCATTCAACCCAGTAATCTCATTTATAAGTAAATACCCCCAAATCTCACCTATAAGTATATATTCCAAAGATAACACTAGCAAAAAAAAACAAACATACACATAACATTATCCATAACAGCATTATTTGTAATGGCAAAAGAACAAAACATAAATGCCCTCGATAGAATTTTAGTTGAATAAATGACTACATATCTATACAGCCATAGAAGAATAAGGCGTATTTCTATATACTTGTGAAATATACTTATTTCTGAGATATAATGTTAAGTTAAAAAAGCAAGTTGGAAAAAAGTGTACTGTATAAAGCATGCTATCATTAATCTAAGGGGAATGGATACAATGTGTGTACACACACACACACACACACACACACACACCCTTTATTTATACAAAAAGAATAGATTAGAAAATAGCCAAAACTATAACAAAGAAAAAAGAAAGAGGGTGAGGGAACAAGAAGCTGGATTCTTAGGAATATACCTTGTATTACAGATTTGACTCAAGAGGTAGAGCTGAGACTATCCTAGAGGTTAAGAATCTTTGGGAAACATTCCTCTAACACACTTACTAACTGCTTAGACACATTCGTTTCCAAGAATAATTCAAAATACATTTTCAACATTACCTTTTTCTTTAATTCTTCCTGTTCCTTTTTACTTAAAGTTCGCTTAGCTGTACTCATTTTTCCAATACTGAATGCTTTAAGTTTGTTTTCCAGAAGCGGCTAAGAAATAAAAAGCATACCTTTACATATACATTCTTAATGCTATCTAAAACGTCAATACATATCACCTGATAACTCAGTCTTCAGAATAGACTGCATTTTTTAAAAATTTCATTGTGAAGAAAAGCTGGGGATACTCTATACATCAGGGCCTATCTTGCTTGACTCTGATGTTAAGTAGTCATCAAAGAATGTCTTCATTCGATAGCTCAAGGTCAAAAACATGCAAAAGTCATGTTTATAAAAAGGTAAAAATAGAAGAGACAGACACTAGTGCTTAGGACAAGAATAAAGGCATTTGAGGAGGGAAAGTACAGATGTTTCTGGGGAAAAGTTGCAATGATAGAACACAGATCCTCAAGTAGGCAAAGGGAGGCATACATTTCCATGGTCTAGCGGCAGGAATTTACCATCTACAACCCTCATTTCACTTACTGTAAATCACTTCTTCTTTATAATTTGGAAAATTACCTCATTCTTCATCAATAATACTGACATTTATGAACATAATTTCATTCTTTGCTGGGATTAAAGTGTCACCTACAATATTTTAAGTTTCAGCTCAAGTAAAACTATATTAACAAATTTTAAATATAAAACAACATTTTAGTGAACTCTTCATTCATGTAACTTAGAAGCAACTTTCTTCTGAAATACAGCCTGAATACATTGTCTGTAGACCTTTTCGTTCAGTCACTCATTAGATTTATAAACTTAGAAGGTAGGAAATGTTTATTAAATAAAACGTAAAATACTGAAATCTGAAGGTTTTTCCCTCTCTCCTATTAAAATGAGAAGTTAACCAATTACAAAATTAAGACTTTATTAATTAATTATCTGGTCAGTAAACAGGCTTGCCCCTGGGAGATGCAGAATGAAAGAGTAATACTGCTGCTATTTTTAAGTTTTATTAAAATCCTTTCGAGAAAAATAAAGCAGTTTATAACCCAAAAAACAATACTGGGTTTCACGAGCGGATTCAAAATAAATTTTCTCAAAACAGAAAATCGTTTTGCCATCATTCAGTGTCTTTGGTTTCAACTTCAAAAGTTTAAACAAGGCACAAAATTATATATGAATTAAATGAAATACAAGGAAAACTTACCCTGCTCAAATTTTATTTATACCCTAAGAACTAAATCCAGATACCCGAGAGAAGTGGCTAAGGAAACTATGGAGTATTTATTCAATTAAACAATATAAGCAATCATTTAAAAGTTTACAGAATTTTTGCAGAAATGAAAAATATTATAACTAAAAACAGGATATTTTAAAACAGGTTCTTGTAAAATAAATCTAGGCAAAGTAAAAATATATTTATGCCTAGAAATACTAAACAAGAAAAATAATTTACCAGTGGTTAATACTGGCTGGTGATGACTGTGTTATCATATATGTCACAAATTTAACCACGAGAAAAAATTACTTGACATAGAATAAAAGTCTAAAAGAGTCTGAGAGCATTTTGCAGATCTACAAGTAAAGAAGCTCCTTCTCTGTGTTCCTGTACTGCCCTGAGAACTGCATTTATCAGAGTGAATAGCATGTGCTCCTGTTTGCTTCCCAAAGTGAGACTATAAGCCCTCTGGGAACAAGAATAGTTTCAATGATCTGTGCATTTCCAGTAACTGGTATTTGGCACTTGGTTCAGTAAATGTTTAAGTGGGGAAAGATAATTTGACAATTAACCATTTTAAATACAAACACTACTTTGTTTTTTGAATAAAATTTAAAACTCTACAATGAAATACATCTCACATTTGAACTAAAACAATTTCCCTAAATAAACTTGAGTTTACTATAATTTCAAATACAAAAAAAAACGGTATTTTCAAATAGAGTAAGATGAAACACAGACAAAACCAAGATATTCAACTACTAAATTAAATCAAGGACAAATTAAAATCGTTAACTATCCTTTCTTATCTTTACCTTATCTTATCTATACTCACTCTTGAGAGATTCTGGTGAGGAGACTCACAAAGGCTTTCACGGGCACTTTCATTCCTATAATTATGTTTTCTTGGGCTCTTAGGTCGTGTCCGACTTGGCATATCACTATCTGAGGGTCCAGATGCATCCATCTTCAGGAAAAGTAAAATAAGAGAAAAAAGCCACACAAACATACATATACAGCACTTAAAACCAGAAATAAGCCATGTCAGATATTGACAAATTTCATTGCACATTATCAAAATATCACATCCCTTAATATCACCATTGATTTCATCAGAAAAGTTCTTAAGAACAGGGGAAGTTTTCAATAACTCTAACTCACAAGCTTGAATTTTATGTTGGTAATAGTTGTTTTCCTTGAAGTAACAGGTTCATTACCTTCATTTTCCAGAAAATGTCTGCCAGAATACCCAAGTCTGATTAACCATAGTCTGCCTGTCAGTCATTCCCAAGTAAAAATGGTGTTTCATGAAAAAAGCAGGTAGTTTCATTTCTCAACTCAAACATCACATTTTGGTAAGCGTAAGTGTTATACGTATTTCTTATTTTATCACACAGAATATTAACACAAACTGTACAAAAGATCAAGACAATAGCAATAATTTTTACTGCTTGATGTAATAAAACGGTAAAATAATAGTAATTTTTATAGCTTCACTAAGCAGTAAAACTTACTTCTAATTACGCTAATCCCTTAAGTGAAATTACTCTCTCTGATGAGGAAGAATATAATGACAAGTATATTCTGGTGTCACTGCCTTGATTTGTGCTCAAGTGCTAACAGTTTACCCACCAAATGTTTTTGCACCTCCAGCTACATTTGCATTCCTGCAAATGCCGAAACAGTGAAAAACGCATAAATAATGCCTTAGTATTATTACAAAAATTAGTTTTTAATTCACAGACCCTTCTCACAGATTCTCAGTGACTCCCAGGGTCTTCAGACTACACTTTTCACAGCTGTAATAACATACATAAAGAAATACTTTGGCAGTATTATCTATCCAAAATGTTATCCAAAAGCTTTAAACAAAAAATATATGCCTATTTGTTATTTCCTAGCAACTGCACCTCCCCACCACAGAACATAATGATGCCTTAAAAAAGAACAGCTTAGAGTCATAACACTTTACCTACAGAGATTTCCAACACGTTCTATGCAGTGAGAAAACCGTGTGTATAATGCAATCCCATAGTCAATATATAAGTACACATACTTACATGTGTACAGATTTTTACACAATAAAAATAAAGTATATATACTAGCTTTCTAACATGGCTCGAGAGGGCTAACTTACGCAAGTAGAACACACAAAAAAGGAAGGCGCCTAGAAAAAACAGTAAAAGAAAAAAAGCACATACAATATAATTGTACTTATTTGTCAAGTAAAATCATTGATGTGGGGTTACATATGAGGATAAATTAAATTTTAAAGGAAAAAAGAGAAGATTGCCTTTTATACTCACATGTGCATCTGAAGATCCAGATGAATGAACATCTGATGATCTCGTCTAAAAACATTAAAAATAAAAGTCAGTATTTTCAAAATATCTTATACTAAGAAACCATGTCTCTCATGTTTTACAAACTTAATCTCTCCTAACTTCCAGCAATTTCTCCTCAGCTAAGAAAACTAAGCAAAGGCAGTCTCTGACTTACAAAAAGATTGTGATACAAAGTAAATGTGTAAGTAATTTCTTTAAAATTCGGCCTTCATATTTCCAAAAATATGATATAAATGCCAGTGGGATATATATGAGGCACAACTACCTCTTCATAGTATGCACTGGAAACCTAAACACCATTTTTAGGACAGAAGTTTTATGCAAAAGCTCTTCCTAATCATAGACGCACTGTTTACTGCCACAGCACTGCCAGCAACTTCTTGATCCACAGCATAAGAACTCTCTTCCTTTCTCTAACCACCCAAAGCCACATAAAGAAATCCACATATAAATCCTTGCTATTAAAGGGTACAAATTCTGCAGAAAGTTCAAGTAAACATTATCAAATCACCAGTAAGGCACCATTTACAACTCATTTTAAGGGGGATGATTCTACAGCATGTCACAGGCTGCCTGGTGGCATGAGAAAGAGTTCATATTATATGTTCCAGCAATGTCAACTGCTAAACTTTCAACTTTTATCAATTGATGTACATATCAGATTACACATGGTATGCAATAATTTGTTTTCACTATGCATGTAAAGACAAAGACAACAAGCTGCAAGGCTATTAATTAAATAATGTATGCTATCTTTCTGTAATTTTTACTTGGAGATCCAAAATATAACTGTCACTGAGCTTTATTTTTGAGGGTATAGGGTAGCGAGATTTCACTTGTTTTTATTTATATATTTATGTGTTAAGTGTTCAGATGAAATCAAGAATCATGAGACCACAAATATCTCACTTGACCCCAACTCCCAGTTCCAGATGTCATATAAAGTGTAAGATAAAATATTAATTTAAGAGAAAACTGAAGATTCATATGCTACTTAAAACAGAGCAAATCAGGAAGATTAATATAGATCCATACAGTACTGTTTTATTTACACTGTCCAAACAAAAGGCTAAGAACAGCTGGTAAGATTTTTACACTGAATCAATTTACTCCTCTGAATTCTACTGTATTGAGCATTAACGTAGGCCAAAATCAGCCCAGGACAACCACGCGCTGGGACACCTCCCATCTTTCTTATTTTTTTTTTTTTTTTTTTGAGACAGAGTCTCACTCTGTCACCGTGTCAAGATCACGGCTCACTGCAGCCTCCGCCTCCCTAGTTCCATGATTCTCCTTCCTCAGCGTCCTGGGTAGCTGGGATTACAGGAAAGTGCCACCACGCCAGGCTAATTTTTGTATTTTTAGTAAAGACGGGGTTTCATCATGTTGGCCAGGCTGATCTCGAACTCCTGACCTCAGGTTGATCTGCCCACCTCAACCTCTGAAAGTGCTAGGATTACAGGTGTGAGTCACCACACCTAGCCCCAACTCATTCTTCCTGTCCATGGTTTTTCTGACCCCAGCTTTTGCGTCCACCCTCATTTTCTTCTTGCAGCTAATATTTCTTAAAAGTCAAGATGGTATGAAAGAAAATGTTTAGTATTTAGTAACTATGAAACACACTGAAACACACCTTGAAATGCATCAATTTACAAAGATCTAAAAATTGTAAAATGCAAAAGAATAAATACTGTTAAAAAAGAAAAACAAGTTCAGTCAAGAGGTTGATGGACCGAAAAAAAAAAATCAACTACCTTCTAATATACCAATATTAACTTGCTAGGTAACAAAAACATCCTAATCATAAAAGCAACAAAAAAATATAAAACATCTAGAAACCAATTTAAGAAATGTATACAACCCTTGTGAAGAAAACAAAAACTTTAGGAAAAATTCAGCTACTCAAGTCACCTTTTCAGAAGATACATATTACTGGGTGGGAAAATTCAGTGTTAAGATAATGTCAATGATACTCAAATTTCTTTACATACTTAATACAATTTCATTCAATAGCTCAAAATTCCAAAGGGAAATACATCAGCTTTCAAAATAATACAATTTGATAAATTTGAAAATAGAGTAATAACAGCATGGTGAAGGACAATGCACCAGCTGATTTCAATTAGTCTAAGATGTCACTAACTACATTTACTCCAAACCATTTTCCACTGATACACACCTATAGCTACATAGCATTCAGCACAGAACTTTTCCAGGCTTAAAAACAGTTCAAACTGTAGTTAACACACTTTTTAAAAGAATAATCAATTTCCAAATCTAACAGTCAAGGTAAACAGTAAATACAGACTACTTCAGAAGCTGAGCCTCTCCCTCTCCTTAACCTGGAACTGAACTATACATTTGTCTTGAGTTTGGCTTTTTAACTGAAGAACACAAACCAATGATGCCTAAAGATCTCCTGAAGTCTATGGCACAACTCCTTATCCAAATGAAAGGACCCAAAAGCAGCTGGATGTAGTAGCTCACATTTGTAATCTCAGCTATTTGGGATGCTGAGATTGGATGATTGCTTGAGGCCAGGAGTTCAAGACCAGCCTGGGCAACATAGCAAGACACCCCATCTCTGGGGAGAAAGGAAAGGGGAAAGGAAAAAGGAAAAAGGAGAGGAGAGGAAAGGAGGAAAAGAAAAAAGACACAAAAGCAAGAAATGAAAAGGCAGACTAAGGGAAGTTTGAGGCAATAAAGTAGCACACTCAAGAGAAATTTATTTTAGGGCAGAGAAAGCAGACAGTACAAATGTGGGGAGGGACAGCAAGAAAATCCAAAAGGAAGAAAGATCATTGTGACGGCTGCTAAGGGGATGAAAGTGAAGAGAACTACACTACATGTGGCCCTATAGCTTGCTAGGTGAGAACAAAACGAATTTTCTTCTGGCTGCTCCAACTTTACTTCAAGTGAAAGCCCCATATCTAAGTTTCCAAATTAGCAAGCTATCCACAGCAACATTCCTCCAACACCACCGTTCCACCTAGCAAGCTCTCCATTCCCGTATCTGTCTCCTAATCTCCCATATGTTTCTTCTCTCACCTCTAAGAGCAGCAACTTTCATCTCCCCAAATTTAACAATCTCTCCCACAGGAAGCATACTGTATTGTCACTTAACTAGACAGCATGCCCCTCAAAAATGAGTACATTATGATTTAACATTTTCTAATTCAACATCAAGCAAAAGATCTGGCAAGTGACACAGTCTCAATATACTTGACTTGTCAGAACAAGTATCTACCACCAAACGAAATTACACTCCACACTGTCAACACACTACACTGTCCATTAACAATAGCTACCTAGCTTAATACCACTATCCAAGTCAAATCAAGGTATCCATCTTTCAAAAAAAAATTTACAAAATCATTAATATAAGCACTATGCAAATAAAGTTAAAAAAAAAACCTAAGATGATTTTTAAATTATTCAAAACACTATGAATACTATATGAAAAGTTGTAAGTACGTTTTGAACAAACTATAGTTTATCTAAACTGAGAAAGGGCTTTGTGAAAAAATTTTAAATCAGGGAATAGATGTCCAACACTACAATGAGCCTCAAGTGCTACTGACAAACGTTATCTTGCTTTCAAAAATGTTATTTCAACAAAATATCCAACACACAGCAGATGTACAATAAAATGTTAAAACTACCCATACTAGAATAAGAGGCAAATAGTCTGTAATATTACTGTTTTTGATTTAATATCTTGTAGCAAGTTTTTCTTTTTATTCCAAAAATGATGGTCCTTGTAAAAAATGGTGGGGGGTAGAGGGGAAGATGTCTTCAACTTGCATACTAAATGAGCTCTTCTTTCAGTGATATCTACTAAGGCAAATGGGTATCTTTCTTAGGTTTACTTCTTAAGGAAAACAAAGCTTCAGAAATAAAAACCAAAAACTGAAAATAAAAACTGGACTTTCAGGGCTGGGTGCTGTGGCTCACACCTGTAATCCCAGCACTCTGGGAAGCCAAGGCGGGCAGATCACCAGGTCAGGAGATCAAGACCATTCTGGCTAACAAGGTGAAACCCTGTCTCTACTACAAATACTAAATAATAAAAAATTTAGTATTTTTTATTATTACTAAATACTAAAAAATTAGCCAGGCATGGCGGCACACACCTGTAGTCCTAGCTACTCAGGAGGCCGAGGCAGGAGAATAGCTTGAACCTGGCTGGTAGAGATTGCAGTGAGTTAAGATTGCACCAGGGCACTCCTGGCTGGTGACAAAGCGAGACTCCGTCTCAAAAACAAAAACTGGACTTTCAGAAAACACTGTCTCAAAAAAAAAAAAAAACCTGGACTTTCAGAAAATAATCAATTCAATCCAGAAAAATATAAAATATTTTTAAAACCATATCAACAGGCATATTCCAGCACCAATACTGCAGGTTCAAGTTTCGAAAAAGTATCAATAGAGAAAATGGAAGTTCAGTTCAGTTCTACCCTCCAGACCAAAACGAAACCTTCTACCAAGAAAACCTACCTTACATTTTAAGATAAGGTTACAACCATACCATAATAAAGATTCGGTTTAAACTAAAACTGGCAAATACTGAAAAGCCTAATTTTCAAGGTTTGTTATTTTGTGTGGACCTTTTCATAAACTTTCAGGTACCTCGAAAGATGAAAACTGGCAGTAATAAATACCTAAGGTTCATAAGCCTTGAATAGATCCTCATTTTACTTATTTCTTAGAAGTTTTGTTAATCAGCAAAGGCAGTCAATCAAAACAGTTCCCAAAGCAATTTAGCACTGGATGTCCAAGGAAGCCAGTGGTATTTTCTGTTTTATCCATTCACCTCTCTAACTCAATTTTTGGCGATATGGCAAAAGAGAAAAAAAAAAGCCAGTCACAGAGAGAAACAGTAGGGCACACAATTCCATTATATCAGCAGTATTACCAGCACAGAAGATTGCAGAAGGAAAGAAAATATGAAATTTTCTTCATATCCTAATTTTGCTGAGCAAACAACTGACAGTCAAGAATAATTTTTTATAAATTAAATTCTAAGGAAATATGTTTAACAATTTTATAAGCAAACAATTCAAGGCTCACACTCTCTCCTCTCAAAATCAAAGCTACAGCATAACATTAACCCTCCTCCCCAACTAAGCAATATTTTAGACAAGTGATAAACAAATGCATAGGAAAACTTTAGCTCATTTCTAAACCATTTATTGAATGTCTACATCTGCCGGGCTCTAAAATGCAATGTACAGCAAAATTACACAGGAAATTAAAGGGCATAAGGGTCTCTCCAGTAAAGAAAATTATGAATAAAGGTAAGTCATTCAAACATACATACATAAAATGTCATTTTAAAAATAGACGCCAGGTGCAGTGGCTCAAGCCTGTAATCCTAGCACTTTGGGAGGCCAAGGTAGGTGGATCACGAGTCAGGAGTTCGAGACCAGCCTGGCCAACATTTTGAAACCCCATCTCTCTAAAATTACAAAAATTAACCAGGCACCTGTAGTCCCAGCTACTAGGGAGGCTGAGGCAGAAGAATCGCTTGAACCCGGGAAACAGAGGTTGCAGCGACACTGCACTCCAGCCTGGGCGACAGGGTAAGATTCCGTCTCAAAAAACAAACAAACAAAAAACTAGGAGAGTTGTAGAGTTATCTAATCTTTTTATAATTAAGAAATGTTAATAATTTTGCCATATCGTACATTTTAAAATTAACATTTTCCCAATGTCGAGAAATAAGCACCACCATCCATACTAATGGTAATTTAACTACCAAAGAAAAGGACAAATCATGAAATGGAAGTACCTGTTCACTCCATCTGTACTGTAAAATACAAGCCACTCATTTGTTCTCTCCAGAGGAAGGGAAATCAAACAAGAGATCAAAGGCTAGAAATTCCAAATACTGTAGTATTAGCCAAAATGACCTTACACTGTCTCTAATCAACTCTGTATTAGAAGTAAAAAGCAGCTATCTGAGCAGTCATTATGATAGATCCCAAATCACAGGATTAAAATTTATCCTAACATTTTGAAAGCAAAGAACTTTTTTTTTTCTTCTAAGAACAAAAAAAGAGAGGGGAAAGAAACTAAGATCTATTATGTACTTTATAAACATTAGTTCATTTAATCCTTATACCAACCTTGTAAAAAAAATTGTATCCGTATTACAAATGAGGAAATTGAGGCTCCACAGTTTAAGCATCTGCCTTAATATCATCGCAAATATAATTACCAAGTCAGGATTTGAACCCAAATCTTTTTTGTGAACAAAATTCATAATCTTCCCACTACATTATGCAGCCTCTATGTTAAGATATCCTGATTCCTTTTACAGACATCAGTAAGAAATCTGTTAATAGCATCAACAAATTATAATCTAAGGCAATATAAACAGAAAAGATTACTAGATAACCCAAGAATTTATTTATAGGGAACAGCCATACACTCATAATCACGAGAAAGTACTATTTTGGAAGGAAGCCTGAACACAGACATTGAAACGTTTTCAGTGTATCCAAGACCTCAAGTAGGGGATACTTAAAATATTACTTTGAGAAGAAACAAAAATTGTGAGGCTTATACATGACGTCATGAATGTAGCTAGCTTTAGTAATAGCTCCCTACCAGTAAGTGGGTGCGTTCTTGTCATGAGTCTATTAAGAAGAGTTGGTAAGGCCGGGCGCGGTGGCTCAAGCCTGTAATCCCAGCACTTTGGGAGTCCGAGGCTGGTGGATCACGAGGTCAACAGATCGAGACCATCTTGGTCAACATGGTGAAACCCCGTCTCTACTAAAATTACAAAAAATTAGCTGGGCACGGTGGTGGTTGCCTGTAATCACAGCTGCTCGGGAGGCTGAGGCAGGAGAATTGCCTGAACCCAGGAGGCGGAGGTTGCGGTGAGCCGAGATCGCGCCATTGCACTCCAGCCTGGGTAACAAGAGCGAAACTCCGTCTCAAAAAAAAAAAAAAAAAAAAAAAAAAGAAGAAGAATTGGTAGAGCGCGTTACCTCACTATTCCCTTCTCCCCAAAAGAAGGGGAGAAGAGGAAATGTACTGGGGAGGGAAATAACTGACACAGAGTAAACAGTACCTTGTAAAGCAGCCAAAACTGGCCCCTTACCAAGTTTTTATCTAACTAAAGGATGTCTAGAAAGACCATAACTAAATATGAACTAATTGTTTTGGTGTACATCATTCACTAATTGGCATAAACAGCCCGAGTATTAGAAACTGAGAAAGCAAGTAGAAAACAGAAAACGAGTTATCATGGTTCTCAGAACTGCAAACGCAAGGGTCTCTCCTACTGTAAACGTAACTTTCTAACAACCGATTTATAACCACACACACTCTTTAAGATATAATAGTCCTTAGAACCTTTAAGTGTTATACACCGTCTCGCATCAGCAACGGGAAGTTTAACTACCTCGTGGCAGTACCCATTACTTTTAATATGTTCGAGACGAGAAACCCAAAGCAAAAAACGATTAAGTATCCTGCCCAAGATGGCAACTAAGAACCCAACCTTACTAATGCTAAACTGCCACAACTCACTGGTTTCACAATACGTGCACAAGGTTCCCTGTAAATACAAATGCAATTTACTAATCGTACGTAGCTTCCAAGTCTACCGCGCTTCTCTTTTCAGTGGAACACGCAACATGAAGAAAGAGTCCCCGAATCCTCTACCCTCGAAAGTGCTTTTTACTTCCCCTTAAGGTAAAGACCACGTGTAGAGTGTACATTAACCTTGGCTATGCAGCCCTGCAAAGGGGAGTTGCTCCCGCCTCTACATTTCCCACCCCGCGTCTCTGCCCTAGTGGTCTCCCCCTCACAGCTGGCGACCCTAGAGGCTATTTATTCCTTGAAGGGAAACTGAGGGAGGCCGGAAGTGACAGATCCAAAACCAAGAAAAAAGCAGCACTTAAGCACCAGGAATCGATTCCCGCCTCTCTCCCAGGCGCTGTCTGGCGGCCTCACAGCGCAGGAAGCTGAGATATAGGGGAGCGTTTTCATGGCCTCGGACCTCAATCTGAATTCACCCCAATGCCAAGCGCGGGCTCAAGTGCTCACGCCACCACCCCCTGCAGACGCAAGTCTCGAGCTGAATCCAGGCTGGGACTAAGAGGAGATACCAGGCCTCTCAGCCTGCGCACCACAGTGCGGCGGCGCCCGGGCCTACCGTCGCGACCAGAACACAGACCCCAATCCCAATCGCTTCTCGCAGACCAGAAGCGTCTGTAGGCCCCAGACGACAGAGGTAGATCCGTTGACTTACGAAATCCTGTCAGAAATTACCTTTGAACTGGCCTTCTGAGAGCCGCCTGGCGTTTTGTCCGCCATCTTGAGCTTTGCCCCTCCTTCGGCGGCGGCAGCAGCACGGGCGAGTCGAGCACCGAAAGAGCGGATCTCAGCTAAGCCCGCCAGAGGCGTATGCAAGGCTGAATAGTCGACCGCCGAAACAGTGATTTCAAGGGAAGCCGCTCACGTGACTTCCGGTGTCAGTCATTTCCTCAGACGCGCTCACTCGACTGGTTTTCCTGGGAGTCTCCGCGATTGGTCACGTTACTGGGTCCGGGAATTCAGAGAATCTCCTTGTTCAGGGCCAACTGATATTTCACTTATCCCAGCGCCAACCCTTGATAGAGGCGAACCTATGTGTGGCAAGGGAGCCGCTGTTTGAAGAGCTGCCCTGGCTGTCTAAGGAGGAGCTTTTATTTCCACTCAAAATAGGCCTGGAGCTGACTGGTGGTCTGGCGCTCGATCTACGGAAACGCTGTTCTCGCCATTTCGGCAGCTCCCACCCTGGTGGGAGAGGCAAATTTGCAGTCTGCTGATCTTAAGGTGGTGAATGTTGAGATAGGGTTGTGCCCGAACCCAACCTGAGGGTGATCTGATAGACACTATTTAGGGCGTCTGCAGAGTTAGGGGCGTGTGGAACCAGAGAACACCGTAAATACAGACGTTATTCTAAATCTAGCATGCATGTAAAGTTGTGCGACATTTTAAAAATTACATTTTACGCTTTAGTGTTGTTTTCATTTTTCATCACATAAATGGAGGAGCACCATATGAACTTTTCTGCACTTAGTACTTTTTAAAAAGTTCTTAATCAGTGCCTGGATTCAAAGAAGGAAAGCTTGCCCTCCTGAATCGGGCCAGGCAAGGAAAATAGAAAGGACATTCCAGACAGAGGGAGTAGTTGACACAAAAGCCTTGTGGCATGAATCAGTATAGCGGGTCGTGCAGGTCACCACAAGCAGTGAAGTTTTTTAGAGGAGGTGTAGGGACTGACGTGGTTTGACGGGGTGTGAGTGCAGGTTCACACAGCGCCCTGAGGTCACCGTCGTGCTTAGGAGTTAGAATTATATTCTCAGAATGAAGATCAGCCTTCAATAAGGTTGAAATGGTCAGATTTTTAAAGTATTGCTCTGAGGATTAGGGTGGAAGTGGAGGGCGTTCATGGACCTCTCCCAAATTCATTTATTCAAAATATTTTTGAGCCCCGTTTTGTGTATAAAAGCCTGCCCAACGTGTTGTAGGGCTTACAGACACACAAAAATGCACTGTCTTCATGATTTAAAACTTAATGAGGAATGGAGGAGACAAGGAAACTGCAAACACTATGCATAATTAAATTGATACTGCAAGGAAGGATCAATAGCTGAGGGAACTCTGAAAGAAGTAACTAATTCTGAGAGTAGGAGTGAGGAAAAAAGACGGGAGTTTTCATAGAGAAGAAAGCAGTTGAGCCAGCTCTAAAGAGGTAGAATTTTGTTAAATGGCGGGGGTGGGGAGCGAGGGAAGCACTTAGAACAGGATCTGACACAAGGCTGGCCCTCAGGAAAGATTAACACATCTGTGCCAGTCACTAAGCAATCAGCAGGCCAGGCCTCCTGTGTGAGGGGCTGAGAGTAGAAGAACAGACAGTAAACAAGAAATGATTGAAAGTGACAAGTGCTGCACATGAAATTAAAATACAATGACTTGCACCCTCCAATCCAATTGAATTTACTTCCAGTGCTGAAATTTGTCATATTTTTTCAGTTCTGGGCCTCTTCCCTCAACCTTGCCCTGACCTCTCATTGAAGTCTAACCAAATTCTCTTGGTGAAGATGTCACTTCCTCCAGGAAGGCTTACAGTCTTCCCTCTCCACCAATCCTAAATTGGAGACCCTGCTTCTGTTTACAAGGAACCTATACTTCCCACTCTGAAGAGCTCAGCACACTAGATCTTAACTGTTTACAGTATAGGATTAGAAAGTGAAATCATCAGCTGAGATGAAAAGAAGTGTGACTGGGTATGCCTTGTGGTGTTCTGACAATGCCACAGGCTGATTTTGTCACTAAAAAGTGAATATATGCAGCATTTCAGTCAAATCCCCAAAGTCCTGAGAATTTTTGCTAAATATTCCTAAAGAGTTAAAAACAAAAAAATGCAGACTTCTTTCCTCTCCTATTTATTTATTTATTTATTTTTTGAGATGGAGTTTTGCTCTTGTTCCCTACGGCTGGAGTGCAATGGCACAGTCTCAGCTCACCACAATTTCCACTTCCTAGATTCAAGTGATTATCCTGCCTCAGCCTCCCAAGTAGCTTGAATTACAAGCATGCACCACTACCCAGCTAATTTTTATATTTTTAGTCAAGAGGGGTTTCTCCATGTTGGTCAGGCTGGTCTTGAACTCCCAACCTCAGATGATCTGCCCATCTCAGCCTCCCAAAGTGCTGGGATTACAGGAGTGAGCCACCACACCCAGCCTCTTCTTTTTTATACTGTTAGCCCCCAAAGCAAGTCAGACAAAGGTGATCTGATTAGAAGTAATACATAGGCCTTTATTAAAGGTTAAGTACACTTTTTAAAAATTCAAAATCATGGCCGGGCACGGTGGCTCAGGCCTCTAATCCTAGCACTTTAGGAGGCCAAAGTGGGCAGATCAAGGCAGGCAGATGGCTTGAGCCCATGAGTTCAAGACCAGCCTGAGCAACATGGCAAAACCTCATCTCTACAAAAAAAAATTTAAAAATCAGCCAGATGTGGTGGCACACATCTGTAGTCCCAGATAGGAGGCTGAGGTGGGAGCACCACCTGAGCACTGGGAATCTTGCCATTGCACTCCAGTCTGGGCAACAGAGTGAGACCCTATCTCAGGAAAAAAAAAAATTCAAAATCACAGTTATGAGCAAGAGTTCTCAAAACATGAAATCCTGGCCCTATTACTCAAATTACAAATTCAGGAAGTTGAAATAGCACAAAAATAATCCTAATGGAATTTTATGGAATCTGAATAATTAGATTAACAATTATAAGTGCTAAGGGACTATACATAGTGAGAATCATACAATTTACTGCAACTAGTATTACCTTTTTACAGTTACACTAAAACCATGCCATTTTTCTCTTCCTGATGTGTTGATTCTCTGGTGCCCACACCAGCCATTTGTTTTTAAGGCTTCTCCCTGTAGCAGATATGTTCAAGAGAAATTACAAAATAGTGCCATATACAATACTGAGATGTTTTGTTTGGTTCATTCAGCGAGATTTTTTTCTTTGAAATTTGAGCCAGCATTTTAAAACAGAGATTTTACATAAAACTCAAGGTTTCTAGCCTTTCTTGAAAACTGGGGAATAGAAAATTAGTTGGGCATGGTGGCATATGTCTGTAATCTCAGCTACTAGGGAGGCTGAGGCTGAAGAATTGCTTGAACCCAGGAGGCCGAGGTTGTGGTGAGCCAAGATTGTGCCATTGCACTCCAGCCTAGGCAACAAAAGCAAAACTCCTTCATAAAATAAAATAAAAATGGGGAAGTCTGGCAACACTGGGTGACAATCCAGGTGAGGCGGCCTACAGCGACCTATTGGGAAAAGGGCTGTGCACACCAATTTAGCCACCCCTTCATCATACACAGTGGACAAATTCCCCGTACCTAGCCTGCTTGTAGGCATTTCAGTTTTCTACTTCTGATGCACAGTGTAATTCTAATTCTGATGTACACCTGGGGTGATGATCAAAACATTACCAACCAGTTCCCCCAGGCACTAACCAGAGCTGACTTATTAGTAAGATACAAGAGGCTCAGTGCCTAGGACCCACAATACTTTTTAGATTTCCCCCACAAAAGAAAATGTTTTGATTTGTTCAAGGAGGAAAAAAGTGGAGTGGAGAGAGTATATAACAATTCGAACCACTGTGGAACTTGTACATCCTGAAAGATAGAGACCTTAAAATTGATTGCCCCAAAGCTCCAACCTCCTGTATTATGTCAATGGACTGCTCCTACCCAAGTAGGCATTTTCATTCTAGAGAGTTTTTAAGCAGCTTTTCCCTGATCTCTAGGCTTCAGGATATAGGTTGGTAAAAGTATAACCCAATATATTTGTTCCTTTGGCATTTATTGAGTTTCTAGCATGTGCTAGGCTCTGAAGAAAGAAGATAAAAGGAGAGACCGCTAAAAATTAGAATGAGTGTCTTCTGCTAAGAGAGATCCTTTAGGGCTACTTCTAGGAATAATTAGGAAACAGCCTTCTCGGAGTTGTGGTCAGTGTGGAATGGAAAATTCCTTCTGATGAAATTGACTGCATGCCCCACACCACCCCACAACACAAGTCTTACTAATAAGGTTTCAGTAGCAATAGCAACTCCTCCCTTTTCTCATCAAAAACAAAACAAAACAATTACCTGACTTACTTATTGATCATATACAGAATTCCTTTGACAATAATAATTGCAGTGGCATTTTTGTAAGATGTCAAAAAGCATATTGCCCAAGAATACGCTGGCACCATGTTAAAGATAATAGAAATGGCTGTTTTAACTATGATCCTAGTGAGACAAAAGCCTTAACTGTGTAGGAATTATTTTATCAACAAGGTAAATAAAATCTAGGAGGGTCCAGTTGGAGTACTGTGGAAATGGAAATGGAAATGAGTGTTCCTCAGTGTGTGTGTGTGTGTGTGTGTGTGTGTGTGAGAGAGAGAGAGAGAGAGAGAGAGAGAGAGAGAGAGAGAGAGATAAAGGAGGACTGCCTGTGGCAGGTCATGAGAATCAGCACACGGCAAATCTGGGGAGCTCTCACTTGCTCTTGCCATGGCCAGGCAACCCAAAGGTGGGCTTGGCTTGGACCATCAAAGCCCTCACTTGACTTGTGACCTGGCTTTTGCCAGGTCCTCATATAGATTGACACTCATGAGACAGGATCAGGTAATATAAAAGGCTGGGTGGAGCGTGAAGTTATGAAGAGAAAATGAAAGACGACTGTCCCTTGTTAATTTCACCTGTTAATAACAAAAGCTGTTAGTAACAGTGGTCTTGAAACACATAAGGCTTTATTTTGACATTGCTATAATGGTAAGATTCTATCAAAGCAACATGGCATACCTTTCTTCTCTTTCAAGTTTTGTTCCATTTCCTTCACATTAACTTTGCATATTTCCCGTTACTTTGTTAGG